TGGAAAAGTAGCATGTTATTATTCATGGTTCAGTCAATTTCAATGGAGCAACTGAATCACAAATAAATAAGTTATAAATAAATAATTTTTTAAAATGAATAAACATTTAAAATAAAAAATTTTCTTTTTCCAGTATGCTAATTTAATGGCAGCTTATATCAATAATGAAATTGTAAAGATTTTGATTACCAAATTTTCAATATTACAAAAAGATTCAAAAAGTATATATTTTTTTGTAATAAAATAGAATTAAAATTATTTTTTGAAAGACATTTTAGATAAAATTTCAATTAACAACATTGCAATTCAAAAAAAACTTTAATAAATCATTATATTAAAATTACAATATTACAGCAATTGTAAAAATAAGTTTCTGTAGAAGCCTACACTTTCAATCATTGAAATTGTTAAAATATAAAAAAAAATTGTATGTACCCAATCATAAGTAAAAAATTTGCTATGTTCTCTGCAACATATAAAACAGTACACATCTCCATTATAAAATTTGAAGTAAGAATTCTTTTCCCTGATTTTACTGTTACAAAATTGACCTCATACAGCCATGAAAATAAATGTAAATAAGGTACTGGTACCTTCCCATCAAAACCATAGAAGTGTGTATACTTTATAATTAATAAAATTAATCACCAAAGATTTTATCATATTTATTAACAGTTTAAATTCTCTAAAAACCGAAGACTTGAATTAATTTATGTAGCTGAATCAAATGTCAGACTGTGGAAGAATACTTGGAATCAAAGCCATATTTCTGATTTGCTAAAATTTATAAATTAAAAAAAATTTTACAAAAATATTTTGAACAGTTAAAAAAATCATTGAAAGTGCACAAGTTTAATTTGACTATTGTAACTGTGCTTTAAATGTTTACTTTAAAAAAAAGACAAAAGATTTACCTAGAAAAATTTTATTTTTCTTTATTATTATTTGCTTATATCTTCTGTTGAAGCAGTTTTCTTTTAAACAATAATATCAATCAAATTTTAAATATATTTTATTTTACACTTCTATTTTAGAAGATACACTATCATATTTTTCCAACAAATTTTAAACAACTCTGAAGATCAGAGGCAACATTTTAGAATGTATCACTTTTATGATACCTCTGCATTTCCAATGCTTTTTCTATATTTTCTGATAAAAGATATACTGTATAGGATAAAATATTTTTATCTTACTTAAACATTTGTTTAAAACTTTGTAGGGATATACAATTCTTTCTCTTTAATTTTCAGAAATATTACAATTTTTTCTATTTCATAACAATTATTACTTTAAAAGCTATTACAGTATATGGCCTTTGTAAATACTGTTAGGTAACACTTCATATTTTTTTCTTTATTTGTAATAAAAATAATTGAAATCACTTTAGAAATAATTGAAAATGCAGAGGCCAAGCTATGAGAGTTAGCTATATACAATATATATAGATATATATTTATATATATGTATATATAATTTATTTATTTTTTCATTTTTTTCTTTTTGTAAAAATCAGAATCTGAAAAATTTGTGCAAATAAGCAAAATCAACTAAAATAGTTCTAAATGGCATTTAACTAAATACTTTTGGAACGATCCAAATACTTTAAATAATTTTCTTTTTTGTAGACTAAAGTAGTCGAATGGTCCCGTGCTCTTACCATTATGAATTAAAATCACAATTATTATTTACACCTGTCTACGTCGAATAAAGTCAGCAATAATAACTTCATTAGCTGTACAGAATATAGCTTTTACCCATAGCTTGGCATTTTAAGAATGTATTCAAAATACATTCTGTGATATCTTTTGACCATTTTAACTAAGATTGATCATCCATATCAATTTATATTTAAATGGCTCTTTTAATAACTACTTTCAAACTGCCAAAGCATCTTTAAGCAAATCTGCAAAAAAGGCAGATTTTCACTAACAAAACAATCAGGTAACTATACCGATGTCTAGGATGACAATAAATGTCTCCTATCATGTGCATAAGTAACATGTTCACCTCAGTGAAGCATAGTGGATTCTTGTTTGGTCTTTTATTTCTACTAAGTCTATTTCACAAAAGCTTTTCCTAAATCTATTCACAAGCTCTCCTTTTTTTAGGACTATTCTGTGTATTATCTGTGTAAACTTTGCTGTTGGGTATATGCATTGTTCTAAAGAAATTTATTTAAGAAAAAAGAACTATTTGGTGCTAATTGCTGCTCCAAAGCATCCCCATCGACTCTTGTTTGTAGTCCCTGGCTGTGATGGAGGGAAGGAAAGAAAGGGAACTTTCTGTGAGTCACTCATAGAAGCAATTTCTTAGAGTGGTAGTGTCCTATTTGATTATTACCTAAGTGATTTCAACCCTGTGTTGCTAAAAGGAGCTCTCTCCTCTTTAGTAGTGCTGTAGGACACAGGGCATAGGCAGAATGGATTCTCCTACTCTTTTCATCTCTATATGTTATACAACTAATGGAAGGTATATGCATGTTGAACAGAGTGATGATTGTGGAATGATAGTCCCATGATTAAAAGTCCGAAAGAGAATGTCGAATAATGCCATCCTCAGTAATATGTTTCATGCTCTACCCATCCTCCAGGTTGACGACGCAAAATAAATCGACGAATTTCATCATACACAAAAATGAGCAAAGAAAATGGCAGTGCTGGCAGCCACNAAAAATATTTTGAACAGTTAAAAAAATCATTGAAAGTGCACAAGTTTAATTTGACTATTGTAACTGTGCTTTAAATGTTTACTTTAAAAAAAAGAACAAAAGATTTACCTAGAAAAATTTTATTTTTCTTTATTATTATTTGCTTATATCTTCTGTTGAAGCAGTTTTCTTTTAAACAATAATATCAATCAAATTTTAAATATATTTTATTTTACACTTCTATTTTAGAAGATACACTATCATATTTTTCCAACAAATTTTAAACAACTCTGAAGATCAGAGGCAACATTTTAGAATGTATCACTTTTATGATACCTCTGCATTTCCAATGCTTTTTCTATATTTTCTGATAAAAGATATACTGTATAGGATAAAATATTTTTATCTTACTTAAACATTTGTTTAAAACTTTGTAGGGATATACAATTCTTTCTCTTTAATTTTCAGAAATATTACAATTTTTTCTATTTCATAACAATTATTACTTTAAAAGCTATTACAGTATATGGCCTTTGTAAATACTGTTAGGTAACACTTCATATTTTTTCTTTATTTGTAATAAAAATAATTGAAATCACTTTAGAAATAATTGAAAATGCAGAGGCCAAGCTATGAGAGTTAGCTATATACAATATATATAGATATATATTTATATATATGTATATATAATTTATTTATTTTTTCATTTTTTTCTTTTTGTAAAAATCAGAATCTGAAAAATTTGTGCAAATAAGCAAAATCAACTAAAATAGTTCTAAATGGCATTTAACTAAATACTTTTGGAACGATCCAAATACTTTAAATAATTTTCTTTTTTGTAGACTAAAGTAGTCGAATGGTCCCGTGCTCTTACCATTATGAATTAAAATCACAATTATTATTTACACCTGTCTACGTCGAATAAAGTCAGCAATAATAACTTCATTAGCTGTACAGAATATAGCTTTTACCCATAGCTTGGCATTTTAAGAATGTATTCAAAATACATTCTGTGATATCTTTTGACCATTTTAACTAAGATTGATCATCCATATCAATTTATATTTAAATGGCTCTTTTAATAACTACTTTCAAACTGCCAAAGCATCTTTAAGCAAATCTGCAAAAAAGGCAGATTTTCACTAACAAAACAATCAGGTAACTATACCGATGTCTAGGATGACAATAAATGTCTCCTATCATGTGCATAAGTAACATGTTCACCTCAGTGAAGCATAGTNAAGAGCGAAAGTTAGAAATCTCTTTAACCCGTATTCATTACCTACCTTACCAGCATGTTTATTTAAGGATCAAATTTCAATTTGTGCGTGTATTTTCGTTAAAATAAAATACAGCGTACCTATTCTTCCGTCAGATAATCATACGTTTAATTACAAGCTTGAGTTATTTATATCAAAAGTTAATTTAAAGTATAAATGAAAGTATTTTTTTTTTTAATCATCTCAAAATGGCGCTCGTAATATCACGCGTGCGAATGTTATATATTTTTTCATTTTTTTCTTTTTGTAAAAATCAGAATCTGAAAAATTTGTGCAAATAAGCAAAATCAACTAAAATAGTTCTAAATGGCATTTAACTAAATACTTTTGGAACGATCCAAATACTTTAAATAATTTTCTTTTTTGTAGACTAAAGTAGTCGAATGGTCCCGTGCTCTTACCATTATGAATTAAAATCACAATTATTATTTACACCTGTCTACGTCGAATAAAGTCAGCAATAATAACTTCATTAGCTGTACAGAATATAGCTTTTACCCATAGCTTGGCATTTTAAGAATGTATTCAAAATACATTCTGTGATATCTTTTGACCATTTTAACTAAGATTGATCATCCATATCAATTTATATTTAAATGGCTCTTTTAATAACTACTTTCAAACTGCCAAAGCATCTTTAAGCAAATCTGCAAAAAAGGCAGATTTTCACTAACAAAACAATCAGGTAACTATACCGATGTCTAGGATGACAATAAATGTCTCCTATCATGTGCATAAGTAACATGTTCACCTCAGTGAAGCATAGTGGATTCTTGTTTGGTCTTTTATTTCTACTAAGTCTATTTCACAAAAGCTTTTCCTAAATCTATTCACAAGCTCTCCTTTTTTTAGGACTATTCTGTGTATTATCTGTGTAAACTTTGCTGTTGGGTATATGCATTGTTCTAAAGAAATTTATTTAAGAAAAAAGAACTATTTGGTGCTAATTGCTGCTCCAAAGCATCCCCATCGACTCTTGTTTGTAGTCCCTGGCTGTGATGGAGGGAAGGAAAGAAAGGGAACTTTCTGTGAGTCACTCATAGAAGCAATTTCTTAGAGTGGTAGTGTCCTATTTGATTATTACCTAAGTGATTTCAACCCTGTGTTGCTAAAAGGAGCTCTCTCCTCTTTAGTAGTGCTGTAGGACACAGGGCATAGGCAGAATGGATTCTCCTACTCTTTTCATCTCTATATGTTATACAACTAATGGAAGGTATATGCATGTTGAACAGAGTGATGATTGTGGAATGATAGTCCCATGATTAAAAGTCCGAAAGAGAATGTCGAATAATGCCATCCTCAGTAATATGTTTCATGCTCTACCCATCCTCCAGGTTGACGACGCAAAATAAATCGACGAATTTCATCATACACAAAAATGAGCAAAGAAAATGGCAGTGCTGGCAGCCACCAGTTGATCCTGAAAAACAAATTAAGTTTTATATGGATGCTTTATTTATTAAAACATTTACTGTAATTAGTGAAGTAGTTAATTTATATTAAATGAAGATACACTTTAAAATGATATTTGGTATAGTATTTTTATATTTCATTATTTTTACATTAGTATGATCATGATTTATACATGGATTGTATACTTGAGACAAACATTCATGCAGATTAAAATGACCAATTATCTCATAGAAGTCCATGGAAATTCTGAAGAATATAATGTAACAAATTTTTTTTTTTATCTTGACAAACTAAAATTGAAAGACTTTTTTAACAGTTAACAAAAATAAAATATTAATAATAAGAATAAAGCAATTTTTAATTAATATTTTCTGAAAAAATATTATGATATATCTATCATAACTTTACATAAAGACAGCAGTCTTTATATGTATATTATACATAAATACTACACATATTTATATATTATACTCATCTATCCATAAAATTCAATTTTATTTTAAGATAAAAGTGCCATTAAATTTCTAAGTTAATTGGTTTTCTTATGATGCATATCAACACTGGTAACATTAATACTAAAGATGATAAAAGACTCCTACAGGCATATTATGATATTCTTTAATGCAAAAATATTGCTAAATTAAAATTTATCATAAAACAATAAAATAAAATTATTAATCATTCTCACAGTTCAAATAAAATATATACTCTACATAATTCCAATTCAACATGTTTGGTATGAATATCAGAGTATTTTAATAAATAAATCTGTTTTAAAGATTTATTTGCTATTACAATTGCAATATTCTCACATAAAATATGAGAATAATATTATTTTTTGTTGTAAATATGTAATAATTGTTACTCTCAATTCAGAATATATAAATCCTAATTTGTAATAAAACTATCTATAATATAAAAGAATAATATAAATTCTACATTAAAAAATATTTAATGTAATTTATGTGCAGGGCCACTGTGAGAGCTTGTATGGGGCCTGGGTGTAGAGATGGCTCCTTTTGTCTTTTTTTTTTTTTTTTTTTTTTTAAAGAAATAAAATATATAGAATGTTTCTTTATTAATAGGGTAAGAACCATTATGGCCTCCTAAGTTTTCTTTAGGCCAAGGGAAAAATTTCCAGCTTCCCCTCCTTGACCCTATTTATATGTAAAAATGAAATGTTGTATATAAAAGTAAAAAATAATTCAAGGAGGTTTTCAATTTTAACCATTAGTTATTTTCATCAACACATTATATTAATAATTGAAGAATTATTGCATACAATTTGATACTTACTTTAATGGGTACATTTTTAATCCTTTATCCATTCCAGGACAATATGATAAAAAGGCTGCTAATGCTGTTTCAAATATTAAACCAAAGTTCAGGACATAATTTCTAAAATGAAAATAACATTTTTGTTAGAAACTTTTAAAACATTTTTTTATATTTTAAAAATAATTTGCAAACAATTATTACAGTTGTACAACTAATATAAACGCCTTGTACAGGAAATCATTTCTATTCAAAATTCTTTTTAGTTTCTATCCAAGATTATTAATATATTAATCATATTCTTTTCTAAAATAAAGATTTTATATGATTTTAGAAAAAGATTTTTAAATAGTATTTTTTAATCTCAAAATAAATTTGTAATCACGGATAAAGGTTGATTCTACAATTTTATTAAGTTGACAATGATATATCATTACCATAATGATGAAAAGTATTATATCTTCAAATTTCTTATGGATGAAATCTCTCACTTAAATTTTAAAACTGAAAACATCTGCCATTCATAAATTTAAAATTTATGGTGTAAATATTCAATGAATTTTCATTAATATTTCTGGTATGAATTATCAGAGAATCAAAGGACTGATCTGATATATAAATTATATTTCTTGTTCGAACAGGAGTTATACTGAGTGAGGAGAAACACACAGTTTCCAATTAAAATGTATCTATTCTAACGTAACAAGTTTATGTTACAACAAATATATTTTAATTGGAAATTGTGTATTTCTCCTCACTCAGTATAACAAAGCCCTAGTTCACAAGACTTTTAAAGTGGACAAAAGTATAATATAAAGATATTTTGTCTTGACTTTTGACTAAAATCTCCTCTCTTTGCTAATCAGAAACTTCACCAGCATAATAAATCCTACTAATAAACAAGGTCCAAGTAGACAATATATACACAGAAATGTAAAACAGTAAGAACATACATTAAAAAGAATTGATATTAGATTTACTTAACAAGTATCCATTTCAAGTTAATCATATCAAACAAATTACAGATTAAATAAAGTATCCATTACAGTAATAAAGGAATAAACTACACTGGTGTGCAAACATTAAGCAATGATGTAATTTTTAAGCAGCCAGCCATGAAATTGTAGAAAAGGACTTGTTGCGATCAATACAATGAACACCCATTTCAATAGAAAGGTGATTTATATGCAGGAAGAAGACATCACAGATGACATGAGGGCATGTAAAATGCATGCAGTGCATGTAGTGCAAGACTACAATAAAAAGAAGGCTTTAATTCCATACTTTATGCACTATTCATTTTTGTGTTAGCATGCTTTCTTCATTTTTTAAGCACAAAATACTGTCTCTATATTCTGAATTTCATGTCTCCCAGGTGATTTCTTGCAGAGTTACAGCAAAAACAATCATTGCTTAAGTTTTGCACACCAGTGTAAATAATGATATAGAAAAATAATTAACTACAAATCTAGTTCTTGTTTTAAATGAAAATTAGTAATCTGTAATGTTAGATTAGTTAAACTTGTATGGAATTATCATATAACCAGTTAATAATTAGTAAAACTGGTTATGTGAACAAAGAAAAAAAGATTACACAACTTATCCAAAGAAGGTTGGTGCTAGAAAAAGGGAGAATAAAAGGAGGTCACCATGAGTAACAGTTTCCTAAGGGGTTGTTACCAGCAACAAACCAACCTTTTACTATGTAACAGATAAACATCTGTTACAAAACAGTTACAACATATCATCTTAAAATATTACACATTTAGACTTCATGTTTGTAAACAACTTCAATCATTGTATTCCAACTACTAATGGGCATAAAGTTTCAAGAATTTTGGTTCTCTAGTGATAGTGTTACTTAGGTACAGTGGAATGTTGTCTCAAATACAGTCAAAAATGTTTGATATACAAGGTGCATCCATAAAGTAAGTTCTGATTGACTGTAAATGAGACAAGATCATCAGAAAAAAACTATGTTTATTGCTACAATGATATATAACTTATTTTCAACATATGCACCACCCATGTTTAGACATTTGTCATAGTACTGCACTAACTGTTTATGCCCATGTCATATGAGATTGCTGCCACAAACTGGAACCAGGATGTCCCTTTCGAGTGAACCACAGAATCTCTGTCAAAACATTGTCCTGCCAGAAATTGCATCAGGTGAAGGAAGAAATGAAAGTCACTGGGTGCAAAGTCAGGGCTATTTGGGGCTGTGTGTCATCTTGAAGCAACACAATGCCTGTACTCAGCTTTCTCCATAAAATTCAATTTTATTTTAAGATAAAAGTGCCATTAAATTTCTAAGTTAATTGGTTTTCTTATGATGCATATCAACACTGGTAACATTAATACTAAAGATGATAAAAGACTCCTACAGGCATATTATGATATTCTTTAATGCAAAAATATTGCTAAATTAAAATTTATCATAAAACAATAAAATAAAATTATTAATCATTCTCACAGTTCAAATAAAATATATACTCTACATAATTCCAATTCAACATGTTTGGTATGAATATCAGAGTATTTTAATAAATAAATCTGTTTTAAAGATTTATTTGCTATTACAATTGCAATATTCTCACATAAAATATGAGAATAATATTATTTTTTGTTGTAAATATGTAATAATTGTTACTCTCAATTCAGAATATATAAATCCTAATTTGTAATAAAACTATCTATAATATAAAAGAATAATATAAATTCTACATTAAAAAATATTTAATGTAATTTATGTGCAGGGCCACTGTGAGAGCTTGTATGGGGCCTGGGTGTAGAGATGGCTCCTTTTGTCTTTTTTTTTTTTTTTTTTTTTTTTTTTTTTTTTTTTTTTTTTTTTTAAAGAAATAAAATATATAGAATGTTTCTTTATTAATAGGGTAAGAACCATTATGGCCTCCTAAGTTTTCTTTAGGCCAAGGGAAAAATTTCCAGCTTCCCCTCCTTGACCCTATTTATATGTAAAAATGAAATGTTGTATATAAAAGTAAAAAATAATTCAAGGAGGTTTTCAATTTTAACCATTAGTTATTTTCATCAACACATTATATTAATAATTGAAGAATTATTGCATACAATTTGATACTTACTTTAATGGGTACATTTTTAATCCTTTATCCATTCCAGGACAATATGATAAAAAGGCTGCTAATGCTGTTTCAAATATTAAACCAAAGTTCAGGACATAATTTCTAAAATGAANTTTTCGCAGTTTTATAGGAATCGTAATTATAGGAATCGTAATTATAGGGGGGTCGACTGTACTTAAATGTTTAAGAAAAAGTTTTCCTTTAGTACTGTGCTACAGAAACTGTCTCCATAGACCTGTGCATGTACCAGTTTATGACCAAATATTCCTCCTTCACACCTGCACAAGCATATCCTGCTCCAGCCACCAGCATCACCTTCTAGTTCTGGAACTTTTTCTGGATGCACCTCATATTTAAATAATAAATATTTATACAATATATAAATAATATATTGTATAAATACATTATACATACATTTTATATATATAAAAAATGCATAAATTGCAAATAAAGTTTATGTCTTAAAACATTACACTAGTGATTCCCAAACTTTTTCATGCCACCACCCCCTTTGTTCCATAAACTTATACTCAATGCCCCTAACAATTTTCTCTTGTGTGAGAAAATCTTGGAAATATTCTTATAAAAATCTTTTCTATGAACCTCACACTTTGTGTCCTTAACATACATTGTTCTGAACATCTGGAAACCATTAAATGCAATGTTTCTTCTTACCTGTTTTAATAGGGGAAAGGGAAAGGTTTGTCAGTGACCCCAACCCTCACCTATAGTCACCATTCAGTCATTACCCTGACTCCAGTGTCCCCCTGCTGCTCAGTTGTTTCTTTTCACTCCCTAGATTTACTCACCGCCCACAGGGGGCAGTAGTGCCTACTTTACACTACATTACACTGTAGCAATAATTTATGTTCATCCTTCTTTATACTAACTCATTTGTCAAGAAGGATGATATCAGAATTTGTTTTACAAACTGTCTATTATAAGAAGTTATGGAATACCATGTATAATTTATGTATTATTATTAATTTTGTTTTAACACTATAAAATTTCTAAATTTACAAAATATAATTTAATAGATGTTATTATAATGTTGATTTAATAAAAATAACTTTAAAAAAATAAAAAAGTTTCTATTCAATATAAACAACTAATACTTTTTTCTGAAACAATATTTAATAATTTAAAAAATATATAATGATAATTTAAAATAAATTTTAATAAAAGCTTTTATGGAAATTTAAATCAATAATAATAAATAAATAAAATCATCATAAACTATTTCAGTATTTCAAAAACATCATGTAAACAAAATGAAATAAATTTAAATATGCTTTTTATGACTAATATTTAAATTTTTAAGAAAAAGCTATTTTAGACTAAAATGAAAAACTCACGTCATCCCTTGATGAAATACAGAATTTCTTCGTGTTTTACAAATTATTAAATCTGCCCACTGGACTACAACAATAGATGCAAAGAAAGCTGTATGACAGGTATATTCTAAGATTTTTCTGTCTTTGTAAGTCTGAAATTAAAATAAATCATATAGTAAATAATAGTAATATTCAATTTCACCCTAAACCTATTTTTTTAATTTAGCATAAAGACAATATAATTATGTTAATTATTCAATTAGATTAGAAGGAATATATAAAATCTAGCAAATCTCCTATTAACAATCTAGACTTGAAAATGTGCAGATTACAGAAATTAATAAAAGCCTTTAATTTATAAAATATAATATTAAATAATGCTTAGATTATTAATAAAATTACTATTTTGTAATAATTATTGTCGTTATAAATTAAATTTATATATGTTTGTAGACAATTATATAATTCAAACTGTTTATTATTTGATGCAATTTTTAAGATAAATTTCTTTTCAGTAACACAAACTTTTATTTTATTTTTATTTGTATATTTTCTAATTATAAATATTAATTAAAATAATAAATTTGCACTAATAATAGATCAATGGAAACCATTATTTAATAATAATTTTATGTTGATCCTGAATAAGAAAAAAATACAATCAATAAATTAGTAGAAACAGGGTTATGTGAGTTCAAAGAAAAATAGCTATAATTAGAATAAATAAAATATAAATAGCTATCTTCTTTTTCTATTTTTAATGTTAGAAGATGAATGTAAGTCTATATATATATATATAAAAATGGACATGTATGTCCCTATATTTCACTTTTCCGAAAAACTACACATTGCATGTGAATAGTGTTTGTATGTGGTGGTAGCCCCAAGTCTCCATTCGTGCATAGGGGTGGTTGCGTCTCAATAGCTATAAGGGTGCGGGAGATATGAGGCTGAAAGTGGTTGAAAGTGGCTTTCTATTTCGAATGTTTTGTTCGAATTTGTTCGAATTAAATTCGAACATAAAATTCGAATATTGGTTCGATTATAGAACGATTGTAAACGTTCCAGAAACGTTGAAAATAGTTCGTTTGACTAAACGTAAAAATTCTCTAATTAGTCTGGAAACGGGGGACCTAATTCTTGCATTCTGTGAAAACGGGTAAGATTAGCTATAATGTAATTATCTTAATCTTCACTATCGTTACTTTTTGCCCAGCGAAGCGGGTCCTTGCAGCTAGATTCTAGATTACTTAGAAAAACAGTCTTTTATATATATAAAAAAAAACTATATTACATACAAATAAAAACCCAGCGAAGCGGGATCTTGCAGCTAGTATTAAATAAAATCACAGAAAACTGAATAAGATAAATCTAATGATAAATGACAAAAATGGAAAATAAAGTTCTTAAAAATAAAAAGATAAAAAGGAGAAAAATGTATACAAAAATTGAATGAAAAGTTTAAAATATTAGCTGCTAAAGAATCAGATGTAAGTATTTTAAGTTTTCATAAATTTAATGTCACTAAATAGCAATATTTATTAATAAATTAGCTACTGATTAATTTGATGAATATCATTTATAAACAAATATATTTACTGTTTTTTGATTGTGAAAATGTCATACAATGTTTTATCAATAAATAAAATAAATCAACTCAATACTTTCTATTTTCCACATAAACCACATTTTAATCAAAAACAAACATTTCCAGTCTTATTTGAAAACATTTGTTTTGATTAAAATTCAGTTTATATTAAAAAATAGAAGATATTGAATTTATTTATTTTGTGTCTATATTTCCAATTAGTTCACATTTAGTTTTATCAATAGATTGATGGTACAGTTCATCTGTCATATCCTATTTCATAAACATATATTCTGAAAAACTATTTTTTTTATTAGCTTCTAATATTTCTTTTTCATTTATGAAACAATTTGAGCTCATATAGTCTATAGTTTTGAAGTTCTGCAATATTTCACTTCTGAAATCACATCTTTTTTATAAATAATATGTGATGATGAACTTATTTAAAGCTGAATTAAAAATACTTAATCACATGATATGCTGCTGATAAGTTTACTTAATATTACTAAAATATATGCTAACATATATGTCAAGCTTTTAAACATGAAAAAATTTTCCCCAAAGTTAAGCAATATAATGGCTATAAAATGACAAAATGCAAACTTTTACTGTAGAATGGTAAACAAGTGGAACAGTGCTCTTAACAATCATTGTGCACTATTTATCATAACTGTTGTAGCACACAAATATTTCTAATTAAATCTTGATTTTACTAAACTTATTTAACAAAAATTAATATAATAAAAATTCAGTATAAATGAAGAAATATTACATGCTGTTTCCAACAGTTGATATACCAACTTTATATCATTGATATAAACAGATGAGTGCAAAGGCAAAGGCATACAACAGTGTTATACTGACATATACCAAATGGAGTGAGACTATGTTGTGTAAACTATTAAACTATTAACATTTTCAAAATAATCAACACCTAATCCGTTGCCGAGGGAGTTTATTTAAAAAAACGAACGTTTTCAATCTACTTTATAGATCATCTTCAAGTTAGACATATTTGCACAACATGTATTTATAGTTTAGAAAATACAAGGGAAGCGGCACTTCCACAGCTTCCATGGACGGCACACCACTGTTGTATCCTCATTTCAGTTCTAGCCTACTGGTAAGCAGAACTGAAATGCTTGTTAAATTGAATATAAATTCATATACAGTAATACCCCAAACTTACGCGATAGGTGGGACCGAGCGATAACCGCGTAAGTCGAATTCGCGTAAGTCGGGGTATAATTTTGCATATAAATACATACAAATAACACAAAATAAATTGTAGCTATATGTCGAACACGTCCGAACATGTAAGCCGAACAATAGTGTGGGGGGAAATGAGTAATTAAGAGTTGCGTGGCGCTCAAACAAAAGACGAATCGACAAGATTTGAAAATCGCGTAACTCCGGATTTGCATAAGTCGGGGTATTACTGTAATTATTTAACATAGTAATTTTCAATAAATTAATATCAGATATACAAAACAANCTATTTATTATACGTATTTATTAATGTGAATCCTCCTTCTGGAGTAGGGCCTGCCATGCTAGGGACAGGGTAATCTCATCCCTCGAGTTAATAGGTGCAGAAGTGTTGTATGCTTTGCAAATTTCCATTTGTTCCAACCACTTGAGGTGGTCCATAAACGGTGTAGTAATGAGGAGTTTGGCGTTGTCGAAGTTTGCCGAAATCTCCGGGTCTGACACATACATGGATAACGACGTAGAACCCCTTTTGTGGAGGATGTCCCGTTGGTGTTCAGTCCATCTGACACCAATAGCACGTCTAGTAGCACCAATGTAGACCAGTTCCCTCAAATCTATGGTCCGTGAGGGGAACAGCGTATACTCCTGGTAGCTTATACTCGTTAGGTTTATCTTTTTCATTGCGTAGAAGCTTAAACATAGATGGGCATCTTCTGTATGATAAGCGTACTCCTTGTTTTTTAGCTATTTTTTGATACAGGGACGTTAGGAACGGGTTGTATGTGACTGGAACGAGGCGGTGGTCTTGTTCCACACTGTCCCTATTCTGTGGAGGAGTAGGTGGGAGGCCGTTGGTGAATTGTTGTGCTAATTTATGGACCATGGTGTTGAATCCATGTTGAGTAGCAATGTTATGCAAATAGTTCAATTCTTGAACTAAAGTATCCTGTGTTGAGCAATGGGTGTAGGCCCTCTTAACCAGTGCTCTAAACGCTGCCATTTTATACCTGAATGGATCACAGGAGTTCGCTGGGATATACGTTGGGAGGTGACAAGATTTGCAGTAGACAGATGTGTATATGATGTCTCCTCCAAATGCAATGTTCAAGTCAAGAAAATGTACCTCGGAATCACCATGTTGCTCAAGTTCTATGGTAAGGCCATACGGATTGTCGTTCATTTTATTCACAAGAAGGGTGATGTTAGGTTCGTGCCTCCATAAAATAATGATGTTGTCTATGTATCGCTTGTACAATATGATGTCGTGGCTGAATCTCGGAATTATTTTATTTTCCAGCTGTCTGATTACCAGTTCACACAGGTTGCCTGAGACCGCACTTCCCATAATTCGTAATAGAAAATCTCGGAGTGCGCAAAAACATGGTGGTAATTCAATTGATGGATATAAAGAACGGAAATCCATGACCGAGATGTATGCGGGCTTTTCGGTGTTTTTGAAAAATACTATTAACTCCGCCGGATTGGAGATGGAGTATCGGTAATCTTGTAACTTTGGAGAGATGAAATTGTGCAAGAATGCTTCAAACTTGTGCATGGGTGCTGTGGCCTTATTAACCACAGGTCTCAATTTGTGGCCTTGTTTATGCATCTTAGCAAAAGTGAAAAGCTTGGGCGTATCCGGGGCGTCCATAACTATATCCCGCATTCCAAGAGCTGCAGCCAGTTTAGAGTTAGATAAGCATTTAACCTTGTTGTGTAGTTTGTTGATTACATTGTTTTGTTGTACGACGCATCTGGTAGCATTAATGTATTCATGCATCTCCTTTTCATACGTGTTCCTTTTCATTAAGACCGACATTTTGGTCTTATCAGCTTTGATCACTGTAATATTATTGCATAACCATTTAATTGCGCGTGAAAGGTTCTCTTTAAAGCGATATACTTGCGCATTATCCTTTCGGTTCTTAAGTTTGCATGTGGCCATCCATCTATAATATTCATTTTGTACAGTTGACATGCCCTGTATCAGTCTTTCTAGGTCAGGTACGCATGTTTTTAGGGTCTCTCTTTTGGTAGGAGTTGGGGCATACGCTGCGTCATCCACAAAAGGGGTTCTACGTCGTTATCCATGTATGCGTCAGACCCGGAGATTTCGGCAAACTTCGACAACGCCAAACTCCTCATTACTACACCATTTACGGACCACCTCAAGTGGTTGGAACAAATGGAAATTTGCAAAGCATACAACACTTCTGCACCTATTAACTCGAGGGATGAGATTACCCTGTCCCTAGCATGGCAGGCCCTACTCCAGAAGGAGGATTCACATTAATAAATACGTATAGTAAATAGGGTATTAAANATAACATTTATATTTAGTTATGTGTACTCAGTTGAATTTTTATATATACAAACATTATATAACTAGCTTCTTGACTTTCAAAAAGACAATATATCAGGAAGAACTTTTATCTATTTTCTGCTTGACAAAGCATAGGAAGTAATAAAGCTTCAAGAAACAAACTTTGCCAACTGCCAGTCACATGACAACTCAGGACAAAGGAATTGGAAAATACAAAAACACCTGAAAGTCTAACTTTCCCTCATTAGACATTCAGCTAGTCAGCCAGACACGCAGCCAATTGACAAAGAAAACATTACTTTGGCTCTTGCATCCTATTTTTGTACATAACAGGATTTTTATATAGTTGTGGCTAATATATTGTGAAAATGGAGACTTGCAATATACTGTATATAATATACCCACACATACTTGATATACTTTTTAAAAGATTTGTATGATATCTTTAACATAAATATTAGTCTGTTATAATGCAATGTATTATATTTTAAAATTTTGTCTTTTATTGCTGCATAATTTTAAATCTAATTTAATATTATAATTTCAAATGAGTTATAAATTTTAAGTTTTTTTATAACCAAAAATCTGAAATTAATATTTTAGTTTTTAATTTGTCAGCAATTTATTTAGTATACATTAGTAACTACTGTATTTGAATAAAGCAGTTTATATGATTCAAGTCAATTAATGATGTTGATTCTGCATTGTTTAGTATGATTAATTATTTACATTTTAAAATAAAATAAAAATAAAATCCTCTTACCATATCAGTGCCTAAATCAATACATAAAATAGTAACAGTTCCTAATGGCAAAGGAATATTTGCTAATATAAATAATAAAAATGGAGTAATCTCGGGGATGTTGCTCGTAAGAGTATAAGCAATAGACTTTTTCAAATTATCAAAAATAAGCCTTCCTGTAAAATAATAAGAATTATATCACTTCAAGATTTCTGTTCTATATCATTAAAAGTTAAACATTTCAAAAAATTAAATTACAAAAATTACATATTACNTTATCTAAATTACATAGTGAATTGTAATATTTATATTCATATCCAGACTATATTGGCAAGTCACTCTTAGACATAAAATATATTATAATTAATTCTAGGATGTTATTTGCCTTCTTCTGTAATTTATCACTGTTCCTGTGGGCTAGGAGGACCAGAGTATTGTATGCATAACCTTGTAGTTTAACATCTTTTTCTGTGATTAGCATGAGGAGGTCATCATACACCAAGCTCCAAAGACCGGGCCCACACCTGGACCCTTGGGGACAGTCCCTTGTCATGTCTTTTGTCACTTGAATGGTGTTAGTGAAGACTCCGAATTTCCTGTGATTTAAGTAGCTCCTAGTAAGATTGTAGACACTGTTTGGGAAGTGAGTCCTTTGTAACTTGTTAAGAATGCTCAGCCACCTGAGGTGGTTGAATGCCTTACGGAAGTCTATGCTAATTAGTAGAGCATGCCAATCGTTCTTCCATGTTCTCTGAATGAAGTCTCTTGTACTTTGGGCAGCATCAATCATCAATCTTCCTTGCCTGAAGCCAAATTGGTTGTCATGCTGCTGTTTGTGTTTACTTAAGTGCCAATTGATCCTTCCAATTAAAAGGCCATCCAGTACTATCCCCATTGCAGGGAGCAAGCTGATTGGCCGGTAGTCTTTGTTTAAGGTGGGGTTGACTGTCTTTGGTATGAGTTTCACACTGGCCATTTTCCAGTGGTCTGGGAAGTAGCCAGTTGAGAGGCAGGAGTTGAATGAAGTTGTGAAAGCTATTGGCAACTCTTCGAAAGCTACTTTTACAGTTTCTGTGGTGAGCCCATCAATGCTGGGTGCTTTTTTATTCACCAGGGTTCTCACTGCATTCCTCATCTTCGTGAATGAGAATTGTTTATCATTGTCTGTGCTAATTGGCCTGTCGGCCTCCTTCCTGATTCGGGCATGTATCACATGGTCATCCTCCCGCCTATCTGCAGGGAAGTGAGTGTTCAGAAGGTCCTGAATGCTCAAATTATTATTATAAGTATTATTATTGTCTGCTTTGAAGATGTGTGGGATGTTTGTCTTTTTGGTTCCTTTAAAAACTATCCAGTAGGGGTGACTCCATGGGTTTTTGTTTTGCTGACTGCAGTATTCTTTCCATGATGAGGTTCTTGCTTTATTTACTTCTGATTTGTATTCCTTTATTTTATTGTTGTATTCTTTTTGCTTTTGTTGTTTGATCATCACGTTCTGCTCCCTTTGTAGGTGTTTCTGACACAGCCTGACTTCCCTCTTTAGCATTTCCAGGCTCCCAGTCCACCAGTGCGTTTTTCCACTTTCTAGTTGTAGCTTGGGCTATTGCCCTTGACATTGTTTCAGTTAGTCTGTCAGCATATTTATCAATCTTGTCTAGGGTGTTAGGGAGTCTTAATTGTTTATTCTCCAATCCTCAGTGAAAGCGTGCCTGAAAAGGTCCCAGTTCATTCTCTTTGTGTAGTTGTTGTCAGTTGTAATTGCCTGGTAAATACCACTTAATTCCATGAGAATGTAGCGATGGTCACTCGCTGAAGGAGTTAGTTGTGTTTCACAGTACTCTATGTAATGGCCCATCTCTGTGAGGGCTATGCAAACATTGATCTAACCCTGTCTGTGAAAAAGGTAGGGATCTGAAGTATTTAGTGACATGCATTCATTTGTGTCTATCCAGTCACTCAGCAGTCTGCCCCTGTGATCCTCTTCTTCGTGAAACCATAAGAGAGATTTTCTGTTTACGTCCCTAGCAGCAGCCACTATGTAATGCTTGCTTTTAATAGTTTTGATGATGTTGTCTAACTCTTCCACACAGCCTTTGTCATCATATGCAGGTGAGAAATAGACACTTATAATGTATAGAGGAGGTTCTTAGTTATCGCCACCATTGTTATTCAGGCTGAGTTAAGATCAGTTATCATTGCTACATCAATATTTGTATTTTGGAGGATGACTCCACTTTTGAGTTTGTTGTCCTGGCTATTGTTGTACACTTGCTAGTTACTGAGATGGGTAATTGAACTGTTAACAGTGTATGGCTCCTGAATTATGATGTCTGTGTTTACATTGTTGGCCATTTTAACAACTAATGAGTTAGCTGCTTTCCCTCTCTGTGTATTTATCTGCAGTATCCTGATTTTATCAGTTTGTTCATCCATTTTTTTTGGTTGTTCTGAATTATAATTAATTAGATTTACTGAGTTATTCATATGTTGTCTGTTTTACAATTAACTTTTTGTAGCTTTTTACAATTGGGCAACTATTTGCAAATGTATGTGCCTTGTATCATGTCCTTTCCCCTCTGGTAGCTTTTTGTTAACTTTTGTGCAGTTTGTGCACCTTGCTTCCTCTTCAACATTTGGGCATTCTTTGTATTTATGTTTTCTGGCACAGTGACTGCACCTCTCCCTTGAGTCACAGTGCCTTGCCAGATGCTTGAAGCCAGTGCATCTGAAACACCTTATTATAGGGATAAAATCATTCACTATCAGAGTGCTCCAATCATAGTGGAGCCATTTTTAGGTTTATCAGTTTGGTCCTGAGCATTGGGGTTACACTCAGGACAATGTGTTGCCTGTCCTCCCTATTTTATGGAGATATGGCTGTTTTGAATTCTACTTCTGAGCTGTATGCCTCTCTGAACACCTTTTCCCTTAACCCTCTGTTTTGGTCATATACTTTTTTCACTACTTCTTCCCAGTTGTCTTTCCCAGTTGTCAAGGGTGATTATCCTTAATGCACCCTTGACATTAAGGATAATCACCCTTGGTCTTTGCTTCAAGGATCTGGTGATTTTCACTTTTCCCTTTATGGCTGGCTGAGCTTCAATTGCCTGCTTTAGTATATCAAAGTCTTGCTCTGTTTGTATCCTTATTTTCAGTGATTCGCTTGAGAGAAGTGTTACCTTCTTTACCTCTAGGTTGAGGCTTGTCGGATCCACTGTCTCTTGCAGTGCATTCATAACTTCCGCTGGGCACAGTTGTTCCCCTTCTGTACTTGTGTTTGGAGATATTATGAGCTTGGGGTATTTTTCCGTGCTTTCCTTTCCTGCCATCAGTTCAGTAATTAGCTTTGTAGATCCACTTCCTCTCTGTGGATCCTGTTTAATAATATCAGCATAAGTTGGTTTTGCTATAGGGTCTGACCTTCTCAGTGCCAGCACCATGCCAAAAAGGTCATGTGTGACAGCGTGCATGTCCAATGCTGCTTACCTAATATTCTTACAGATCCATGTGCTTTTACAAGAAGGGCTTCCAAAATAGTGTTCAGCCCTTTGGAGATAGTCTCTAACAAGGTTTTCTCTGGGTATCCATTATTATCTGCAGAGTTACAATTATAACCGACAATCATAGACAAGCCGTTCAGCTGATGGTGAAGTGTCGATTGATTACACCTGTGCCATGTGACTAGATATCATGCCAGTCAGCTAAGGCATCACATGTGACTAAACAATAGAACTGTTCTTCTGTGTCAAAGAGACCCTTATTACATCTTCCAGATCTGTGTATAGAGCATGGGATGACAAACCCAGTGATATGCGACCCTCAAGGAAAGAGCTATTAAACTATTTCGTATTATAAATATATTATATATTATAAAATAATAGCATTGCTTAGCACTAGTTTCAAATTATACTAATAATTAATTGAAACTGTGCATTAATGGTTTCATTTTTATTGTATAATTAAAAAAGAATTAATATCAGTGCAAAATTATTAAAAATTTTTTCCCTTCTCATTTTTTGTAACTTAGAATCAATTGAAAATTACAATTTTCATATTTATATAAAGTATAAGTTTTCATCAATATTTTTTATTCTACATAGTTTCATTTGCTTGTTTCAAAAGAGTTTAAATTTTATTATTGTCACTTTAAAAGTTTTTGATGTATTCAATAATATAAATATTGAAGTATTATAACTTACCCATTCTTGATTATATGAATCTCTAAGATCATTAACAGCTTTCGAATCCCAATATTTACGAATTCCAAAAAGAGTTGAAGCCCAAAAGCCATTTTCAGCCATGATGACAAAATAAACAAAAAATCCTGCTGCTGCTTGCATCATGCCAATTTGACCATAAGCTATAGATATTAATCTATAAAAATTAATAAATAATTAGAAACAATAAATATATACATAAAGAACAAAGAAAGTGTGTAAGTGTAACTACTTAATTTAAACAACTTTAAATTAAGTAGTTAACTTAAATTTAAATATTAAAAACAAATATTGGCTTTCCTCTTATTCATGACTTAAATGTTGAATGTTAAATGAAAATATTAGTCATAAATAAAACTCTGGTGGAGTAGAAGCAATTTACGGTTCCTCTGTGGTGATTTCTATTTTATTTATCATTTTGTTATCTTACTCAATTTAGTTATTTAAATTTTATATATAATTTCTCTAAAAACAATAATTATTATTATGAAATTTACCTTTCATTTACTAGTTTATCTTTTAAGGGATCACGTGGCTGTCTTTTCATGATATCACTTTCTGGTTTTTCATAGGCTAGAGAAATTGCAGGAACCTATAAATAATCGAATAAATTAAAAATTACAGATTTTTTGGAGAGTGCAGTTTAAATTGAGCTTTTAGTATAACATTTTAATTATTTTGAATTTTAAAATTCAAAATAATAAAAAAGCTATACTAAATTTATTGGAATATTAAACATATTAAAAAAATTAAAATGCTGTGAATATACAGATATGAAAAATTAAGTAATTACTGATGTTTCAATGATTCAACAAAAGTGGACAATAAAAAAAATAATGTCAAAAATCAAAATAAAGCAACACTCATTTCTAGGGTTTATGAAAAAATTTGCAATGAATCTTTCAATTATTTATAAAATAATGAAAATAATATAACAAAATTTTTAATTTTATTATGAATATGAACATTCTGTTCAAAAATATAGAAAGATATTACAATATCTTATTTTATCTACTCTTATTTAAATTTATGAGAAAAGTAGATAATATTGCTATTTTATAAATTTAAGAGAGAATCCAAAGTTACAAAATTTATAAAAAAAACTTTTTGAACAAAAGTAAATGACTGCAAATGTATATATGTAAATAACTATAATTTTAATTTTATTGTTTTTGTTTTACCAGTTTTCATTTTCTATCTGATGATGCCAAAACAACTTTTTTGTATTCAACAAACTTTTTTTTACCACTTACTTTATATCAGCTATTTTCTAAACTTTTAATGAACTTAAACAGTGCTTAGGTTACAGAATTTATGACTATTATATATCTCATTATTTAATTTTCTCATTAGCTTATACTTATTTCATATTTGATAAATTAATGAAAGATACCACAAAAAAATTCTGTCATAATATGCAGATTATTTAATCTTATTTCCTTGAATAAGATTTTATACTTAGATAACATATTTCAAGACAGTTAAATATGCAATAAAATTATTATTATATTATATACTACTTAATTAAATAAAAAACTTCATTTTTCAAATTTTGTTTTGCAAATTTAAAAATATAGAAACAAAAAATAAATAGTTTTTAATCTGCACAGAAATATCCTTTTAAAAAAATTAATTATTATTGCTTATTGACAAAGGTCTAAAATGCATTATCAAAGTTTTTAATTATATCATAATATTAATAAAATATTAATGACTTGATTATGTATACTCTGTATTCAAAAACAACAGTTACATATAAGTATAACATTTATATTTAGTTATGTGTACTCAGTTGAATTTTTATATATACAAACATTATATAACTAGCTTCTTGACTTTCAAAAAGACAATATATCAGGAAGAACTTTTATCTATTTTCTGCTTGACAAAGCATAGGAAGTAATAAAGCTTCAAGAAACAAACTTTGCCAACTGCCAGTCACATGACAACTCAGGACAAAGGAATTGGAAAATACAAAAACACCTGAAAGTCTAACTTTCCCTCATTAGACATTCAGCTAGTCAGCCAGACACGCAGCCAATTGACAAAGAAAACATTACTTTGGCTCTTGCATCCTATTTTTGTACATAACAGGATTTTTATATAGTTGTGGCTAATATATTGTGAAAATGGAGACTTGCAATATACTGTATATAATATACCCACACATACTTGATATACTTTTTAAAAGATTTGTATGATATCTTTAACATAAATATTAGTCTGTTATAATGCAATGTATTATATTTTAAAATTTTGTCTTTTATTGCTGCATAATTTTAAATCTAATTTAATATTATAATTTCAAATGAGTTATAAATTTTAAGTTTTTTTATAACCAAAAATCTGAAATTAATATTTTAGTTTTTAATTTGTCAGCAATTTATTTAGTATACATTAGTAACTACTGTATTTGAATAAAGCAGTTTATATGATTCAAGTCAATTAATGATGTTGATTCTGCATTGTTTAGTATGATTAATTATTTACATTTTAAAATAAAATAAAAATAAAATCCTCTTACCATATCAGTGCCTAAATCAATACATAAAATAGTAACAGTTCCTAATGGCAAAGGAATATTTGCTAATATAAATAATAAAAATGGAGTAATCTCGGGGATGTTGCTCGTAAGAGTATAAGCAATAGACTTTTTCAAATTATCAAAAATAAGCCTTCCTGTAAAATAATAAGAATTATATCACTTCAAGATTTCTGTTCTATATCATTAAAAGTTAAACATTTCAAAAAATTAAATTACAAAAATTACATATTACACATAAATTTAAAATATTTAATATAAATTAGTGTTTATAAGTTTTAAATTATTCAAAAATACTTTCACAAACATTAAAATAAAATAACTATTATATAATATAACTAAATATATTATTTGATAATTGTTATTTGCTGTAAATGTAATCAGTATTTAAATATAACTGTATAATAAATTAATACAAATTTTTATAAAGATAATCTCAATGGACTATTCAAATATCAATAGCTTACAAAATTTCTTGGAATCAATTTCATACATTAAGAATAATATCATAAAGAAATATTGTTTTTGTTTCAAAATCATAAGAATATAATACAATGTGCAGATTATTATTTATAAATCCAAAAAACAAAATGCTTAAAATATTCAGGACTCAATTATTTATTTGGTTAACACATTTGTTGAGACCTTTATTATCTTAGCTTTGGATAACTGTAATCTGTTCTATAATCAGAAGTGAGCAGACTCTCAAGTCCATGTGTGGCTGAAAAAACACTTTCTCATTCACCCACCAGTCTTGTAAAGTGTAGAGGAAACCCTCTACACTTATGGATAGAAGAGATTACATTTGGGATTCAAAGTTTACAAGATGATGTCACAATGTGGTCATCACAAATTTCAGTAGTACTGTTTACGTGGCTAAGCCTTCGTATGAACCTTTATTGAGCAAAGGGACAAAGTATGCTTCTCAAACATTTTCAAGAAATTTGAAGTTAAAAAATTCTGAGCAATGTATTAGTAAGTTTTGCATAACATATCATCAAAGACTGCATGGTTCAGTAAGTATGTGTCTTATCCATATTTACAAGATCACTGGTTTGTATCTCAATGAGACCTTTCTTCAAATCAAAAAAATTTTTATGTAAAATAATTGTAAATGGTACATGGATTTATATATTTGCTATTTATTCTATATTAAAAATGTATTTTCTTTCTGTAAAAAATCATTTTTCAATGTCACTTTTCTGAAAAACAAAAATTTGAAAAATGTACCTTCTTCAACTCCTGTAACAATAGATGCAAAATTGTCATCTAATAAAATCATGTCAGCTGCTTGTTTACTAACATCACTTCCTGCAATACCCATTGCCACACCTATATTAATTTAAATGAAAGATATTAATATACATAACATATAAACATTTATATCAAATATACATAAGAATAAAAATTGCCAAAAGCATTACAAAACAGAATTATTTAGATCAGTTAATTTATCGATGATTAAACAAAGTTTACTTACCTTATTTACTCGCATGTAAGATGAGGTTTTTATTAATTTTTCACTGTTTTAAAAACCTAAGTTGTCCTATATGCATGAGTGAAAGATTTTTTGGGTTTTTGCAATAATTTTTGTGAACCATGTCTAGTTTATGCTGTCATTATAGCAGGGTACTGTTGAGATCAAGGTGAATGGTGCTTTCAAAGAGATGGTCCAAAAATAGCTTGTCACTTTGCAACGATTATAAATGTAATTATTTCATATTTGTTAAATTGGTATTTTTAATGAATATTTACACATTCTGAATCATTAAAAATAAACTTTCTCTGGTCATGTGCATTATAATCTTTTGGGTTTCCTATGTGGATGTCAGGTGCATAGAAAAACATTCCTCAAGAGCTGATAGCAAAGTCATTCAGGAAATACTGCATTTCAAATTTACTCAACAACAGATCAGAGGACGATGCTTTGTGGAGTGAGAGTGAAAAAGAAGAGAGTTGTAATGAAGCTTCAGAGGGAGAATCCAAGTAGACAAAAGGTGATAGCGTTAAAAAATCATAGTTGTTTGCCTTAATACATGTATTTGATAATATTTTATTTGTGATTAAACAAAATAAAATTAGAATTGTATTAATAAATCTAATTTTCTTTATTTTGATTTTTAAAGTCTCACCTCGTCTTATATGCGAGTAAATACAGTAATTATTAATATTTATTTTGCCTAATCATAAATCACACAAAACAAAATTTATTAGATAACATTAATCAAATTATTAAATAAGCAATAATTTCTTATACTTTGGTATATCTGTAACTGGGTACATCTCGTCTTTTAGTGTTATAAGCAGTGAGCAATAAATTAGGATATAATCATTAAGTTACATGAAAATAAAACAATTTTAAAATTACAATATATTCTTACCAATATCAGCTTTCTTTAAAGCAGGAGAATCATTGACACCATCTCCTGTTACTGCAACAATAGCACCTAATTTTTGGCAACCTTCTACTATAATTAATTTTTGCTGGGGAGATGTTCGAGCAAACACAATTTCAGTGTGATATCTTAGAAGATCATCCATTTGTTCCGGTGACATATCTCTAAGTTGACCGCCATGCACAACTGCTGCCATAGCATCTCTAAAATTTAGGAAATACATTCATTTAAATAAAAATTTTATCAGGTTTTCTATAATTTATATTCATAAGAATGGCATTTGAAATTAATTGAAATTCATGCAATATAGTGAAAATGATAAAATATACATTTGTGATTACAAAAACATTCTCATTTTTTTACGTTTGAATAATAATTCCTATTAATATTCCTTGGTTAGAAACTCAAATACATATTGAAAATCATTTACAGTGTATTCTTGATTATCCATCTAATGGTAGGGGAAGACTACAAATAATCAAAAAACATGGATAATCTGAAGTACATAATACATTGTATTCTATTGAAGAACTAATCAAAATCTCCTATACTCATAAAATTATAAATATTATAGTAAAAAGACCTTCATTGGACCAAGCTCAAACTTTTAAAAATTATTAATCACGTAGTATTCATTAAGACATACAAACTTAAAATAATAAAAATCATTTCTTCACAAAATGATTTCTTAATGACTCTAATCTGCAATTCTTAATGGTTCTAACTGACATTCTCACATACTACAATCATTATGTTTTGTACTTTTACTATTTTAAAAAATTATTTTCTAGCTTGCAAGTAATTTCTAAACTTTAACTGAGAAAGAAGTTAATGCTGATACAATTAGAGGTTCAATAGCAGCATGCAAAGATGTAGATCAGAGATTGCCAATCTTTTTCTAAAAAAGACCACATAAGCTGGACAAGACAAGTCCAGCTTAATAACAACAGACATAAATCGGAGGGTTAATTTGGTGTTGATTGGCTGTGATGACCTCTTGCTAACCTGTTTTGCATATTTCTTAATTTTTTCCAGGTAGGTAAATTGATTTATTTCTTTAATTTTTATTTGTTAGTTTTATTTTATTACTTTAAATTCCATTCATTTGTAATGTTATGGCATCAGGTCATCACAGTTTGTTTACTAGTTAATTGACTATGTTTAGAATAATATGTAGTAATTATCATGTATGGGATTTTGTATTATGTTTTTGTAATTATATTTTTGTACCGGATATTTTATTCATGTACTGAAATTGTATTATGCACAAGATGTTGCATACAGTATATGTAATGATTATTATATATTATGTTTTGATTTTTGCATGTACAGACTTGGACTTTGTACAGGATTACCTTTTTACTGTATTTGTTTATGGGGGCAATACTTGTTTGATGTTTTCCTTTTTTGTTCCCAATATAAAGAATATTTGTATCTTGTACTAAATAAATAATAATAATAACAGACATAAATCAATATGAAATTTACAATTGCTTTTTATCATCATCAAAATTGAGAGTAAATTTTGTGGAACCCAATATTAAACTTTCCTTTAGATATTTGTTGAATAGTAATGTTTGATATTTTAATTTTGTATATTTTACTTTCAAAAAGCTTTGTACATTGAAACAAAAACAGAAAATATTCCTGTGAAAGCTTCTTAAAACTTTTAAAATTTTCTTTTGGTAGAGATTTGTTAAAATTTAACAAACCCCCTTCTTTAAACAGATTTTTATAAAAATTATTTGCAGCAGGATCTAGTAATTACAGTTAACTTTTCGAAAGTTTATATGCTTTAAACTAAGTTAGTTTGAATGTTGATAAAACACATCACAGAAAACAAGCTATGTAGACCAGATAAATATGCTCTGAAGGTAATATTGGGCTGTGGGTTGCAGATTGGAGATCCCTGATCTACACGATTCACAAATATACAAAGTACATATGACTGTTGTATTAAGGATTTGTTCAAGTATTTTCTACCTTCATCACTAGTTGTGAGTAGCTTTTGATAGTGCATGAATAACCTTCAAATCAGATAATCAAAAATACACTGCACATATATTTGAGGACTGTAAAAATCTAAATATAAAGTCAAACTTCTAAACAACATATTGCTAGAAACATAAAAATGGTCATTGTTCATAGGTGGCCATGTTTGGAGGTTATTTCATATGTATTTTTGTTCAAAAAAGTTCCTGAAAACATAGCTGCTGTTTAGAGATGATTATTGTTATTAGGTGACTGTTATTAGAAGTTCAACTGTATAAACTTTTTAAAAAAAATAAATATCAAAACAAAATTTGTATTGATTATTATAAAAAAGAACAGAAATTTATAAATTATTTTTAATTAATACTATAATATGTTTCTTGTCTAGCCTTGGTATATACTTGTGAGCACTATGTTGGCCTCTTTATTAATTAAAGAGGCTAACATAGTGCTCACAAGTATATTTTTAATTAATTTAAAATTTACTTCTAAACATTAAATTCTTTATGAGATAATGATACTGTTCTCGTTATAAAATTTTATTTCAATTTAATTGAATTAATTAGCTTTAAAATAGTTTGTAATCTAGCTTTTTAGTTTAATAATAATAATAATAATAATTTTTGGTTGCTATGCCTTGACTCTGGTCTGGCATAGTACACAGCCACTGGTATCAACTGAGTATAACCCACTAAATACTGTATTATAATAATAATAATAACAATAATGAGGTTGCGGCCAGTTTTCATCTCTAAAATGTCAAACATCAAGCACTATTATCTTATAAGTGGCACTCAATGTTATGTTTATGCTTTAAAGATGAAAACTTTGACTGCAATTTTGCTAATAATAAAACTAACTGCTAAAGTTCGGGTTACCAAAAAACATTTAATCAGAAACATTTTCAAGTTTCAATTGTGTAGTTTATAACAAACTTTACATATTCAGCTGTTTCATTTATGCCATGTACTAATAAACTGTTACACATTACACAAAATGCTTAGTTTTATTAAACAGATATTGAAATATATACCTATTTCAACATCTGCAGAAATCAGATTAGCATTTCAAGAAGTGACCAGAAAAAATAGACAGACTTTGAAACTAATATTTATTACAGGATGTTCTAGCACTTCAAGAAATGGAAATTTCAGCATGTGGCTAAGACATGTATATTCATACTGGATTAAATAAAAATGATTCCATTAAGAAATAAAATGAAACTTTAATAAAAATCTAAACATCATCTTAACAAGAATTTAAAATTTTATTTAATCTTGTTTTGTATGTAAATAACTGAATTTTGTTACCAATAATAAATGCATATTAACAGTAATACCTTGGATTAACATTTTCTACTGGGATATCTAATCTTTCTGCAATATCTTCTATTGTTTCATTTCCTTCAGAAATTATACCAACTGATTTAGCAATTGCTTTAGCTGTAATAGGATGATCCCCTGTCACCATAATTACCTAAAAATAGAAATATTTTCAATAAATTATTCATTAAAATTACAATCATCAATTTGAAAGAAAATTATTTTAAGCCTTTTATAACTTCTCCATTTATTTGCTGAAAGTAAATATATTCAGATTCTATAAGAATATTTTAAAATAATTCAATAAAGAATCTTCAAATACTGGATTAAAATACAAAAATAATCCTTCATCAAACCCTTTAACTGGTATTAAACAAGAGTAAAATTACATGCAAACGTTTTCGGATCCTCCCTGGGTCCTTTCTCAAGCAACTATTCTTCTTTAAAATTCATTAGAACAAACTTCTTCAAAATTGCGATATTCGAAAAACTACTTCTTCCAAACCACATTTCAAAAGTCGAAATTCAAATATCAATGTAAGTCACGTGCATTCCAGTATTCTGTAATGTAATGCTCATTCTTCTTAAAAAGATTTTTATGGATTTTTACATTAACAAAAAAATAAATAAAGAAAAAATAAAATAGCATATCAGCGGGTATGAGGTTTTAATACCCTATTTATTATACGTATTTATTAATGTGAATCCTCCTTCTGGAGTAGGGCCTGCCATGCTAGGGACAGGGTAATCTCATCCCTCGAGTTAATAGGTGCAGAAGTGTTGTATGCTTTGCAAATTTCCATTTGTTCCAACCACTTGAGGTGGTCCATAAACGGTGTAGTAATGAGGAGTTTGGCGTTGTCGAAGTTTGCCGAAATCTCCGGGTCTGACACATACATGGATAACGACGTAGAACCCCTTTTGTGGAGGATGTCCCGTCGGTGTTCAGTCCATCTGACACCAATAGCACGTCTAGTAGCACCAATGTAGACCAGTTCCCTCAAATCTATGGTCCGTGAGGGGAACAGCGTATACTCCTGGTAGCTTATACTCGTTAGGTTTATCTTTTTCATTGCGTAGAAGCTTAAACATAGATGGGCATCTTCTGTATGATAAGCGTACTCCTTGTTTTTTAGCTATTTTTTGATACAGGGACGTTAGGAACGGGTTGTATGTGACTGGAACGAGGCGGTGGTCTTGTTCCACACTGTCCCTATTCTGTGGAGGAGTAGGTGGGAGGCCGTTGGTGAATTGTTGTGCTAATTTATGGACCATGGTGTTGAATCCATGTTGAGTAGCAATGTTATGCAAATAGTTCAATTCTTGAACTAAAGTATCCTGTGTTGAGCAATGGGTGTAGGCCCTCTTAACCAGTGCTCTAAACGCTGCCATTTTATACCTGAATGGATCACAGGAGTTCGCTGGGATATACGTTGGGAGGTGACAAGATTTGCAGTAGACAGATGTGTATATGATGTCTCCTCCAAATGCAATGTTCAAGTCAAGAAAATGTACCTCGGAATCACCATGTTGCTCAAGTTCTATGGTAAGGCCATACGGATTGTCGTTCATTTTATTCACAAGAAGGGTGATGTTAGGTTCGTGCCTCCATAAAATAATGATGTTGTCTATGTATCGCTTGTACAATATGATGTCGTGGCTGAATCTCGGAATTATTTTATTTTCCAGCTGTCTGATTACCAGTTCACACAGGTTGCCTGAGACCGCACTTCCCATAATTCGTAATAGAAAATCTCGGAGTGCGCAAAAACATGGTGGTAATTCAATTGATGGATATAAAGAACGGAAATCCATGACCGAGATGTATGCGGGCTTTTCGGTGTTTTTGAAAAATACTATTAACTCCGCCGGATTGGAGATGGAGTATCGGTAATCTTGTAACTTTGGAGAGATGAAATTGTGCAAGAATGCTTCAAACTTGTGCATGGGTGCTGTGGCCTTATTAACCACAGGTCTCAATTTGTGGCCTTGTTTATGCATCTTAGCAAAAGTGAAAAGCTTGGGCGTATCCGAGGCGTCCATAACTATATCCCGCATTCCAAGAGCTGCAGCCAGTTTAGAGTTAGATAAGCATTTAACCTTGTTGTGTAGTTTGTTGATTACATTGTTTTGTTGTACGACGCATCTGGTAGCATTAATGTATTCATGCATCTCCTTTTCATACGTGTTCCTTTTCATTAAGACCGACATTTTGGTCTTATCAGCTTTGATCACTGTAATATTATTGCATAACCATTTAATTGCGCGTGAAAGGTTCTCTTTAAAGCGATATACTTGCGCATTATCCTTTCGGTTCTTAAGTTTGCATGTGGCCATCCATCTATAATATTCATTTTGTACAGTTGACATGCCCTGTATCAGTCTTTCTAGGTCAGGTACGCATGTTTTTAGGGTCTCTCTTTTGGTAGGAGTTGGGGCATACGCTGCGTCATCCACAAAAGGGGTTCTACGTCGTTATCCATGTATGCGTCAGACCCGGAGATTTCGGCAAACTTCGACAACGCCAAACTCCTCATTACTACACCATTTACGGACCACCTCAAGTGGTTGGAACAAATGGAAATTTGCAAAGCATACAACACTTCTGCACCTATTAACTCGAGGGATGAGATTACCCTGTCCCTAGCATGGCAGGCCCTACTCCAGAAGGAGGATTCACATTAATAAATACGTATAGTAAATAGGGTATTAAAACCTCATACCCGCTGATATGCTATTTTATTTTTTCTTTATTTATTTTTTTGTTAACGTAAAAATCCATAAAAACCTTTTTAAGAAGAACAAGCATTACATTACAGAATACTGGAATGCACGTGATTTACATTGATATTTGAATTTCGACTTTTGAAATGTAGTTCGGAAGAAGTAGTTTTTCGAATATCGCAGTTTTGAAGAAGTTCGTTCTACTGGTCTTCGTTCTAATGAATTTTAAAGAAGAATAGTTGCTTGAGAAAGGACCCAGGGAGGGATCCGAAAACGTTTGCATGTAATTTTACTCTTGTTTAATACCAGTTAAAGGGTTTGATGAGGGATTATTTTTGTATTAAAATAATTCTTCAGTGTTTTTCTTACTTAGAAAAGAAAAAGAATATTTCTTTAATACAGTACTGTAATTATTCAATTATCCAAAAAATTGATGAACTAAAATTGATTTTAGAGAGTACAAATTCAAGAAATTATGAAGTTTTTAAGTGATAATAATTGTTGGTTCTTTTCTATACCCTCTTTGTGCTAACCTGTTATCAATACTTGTGTTAGATTTCATTTATTACAGTACAAATAGAAAAGCATGAATAATGAGTCACTGGTTTCTAATACAGTGGTACATTGTACTTCAAATGACTAACTTTGAATGTTCCTGAGTTTGAATGCTAAATTCAAACCAGAGTTTGAACAATGCTTCTACTTTCAAACTACAGACATAATGAAAAAAATGTGTTCAATGCATAAATGCCATCTGTTGTGTGTCCAAATCATCTCTTACTGTGAAAGCATCTTTTGTGTTATGATCATGTATTTTCAATGCTCTTTTCTTTATTTTTGATGTGTTTGGTTATATATACAAGATCCAATGGTCCATAAAAGAAAGACAAGTGTAAATAACAAAATGAATCCAAAAGTTAGGTACAAACACGGTTACATTTCTACATAATCACCATGAAGTTTGAGGCATTTGTCATATCTGTCATATCTGTGGATGAGCTTTTCCATCCCCTTGTCATAGAATGTTGCCACCAATGACTTGAGATAGGCCCTAACATTGTTTTGAAGATCGTCATTAGTCTTGAACCTCTGCCCTCCTAGTCACTTTTTCTGTTCAGGAAAGAGGTGGAAGTCACTCAGCACTAAATCAGGACTATATGCTAGGTGTTTAAAGGTAGTGAAGACTTCTACCCAGCTTGGAACTTTTTAAAGTGTGAAGACCTCTTTTCTGAACTGAAAATGTGGTTAGCAGGACAGAGGTTTGAGACTAATAACGATCTTCAAAACAACATTGTTAAGGCCATCTCAATACACTGGCAGCAACATCCTATGACAAGGGGATGGAAAAGCTCATCCACAGATATGACAAATGCCTCAATCTTCACATTGATTATGTCAAAAAGTAACCATGTTTGTACTTAACTTTTGGTAATAAATTAATTTTATTATTTACACTTGTCTTTGTTTTATGGACCATCGGAGCTTGAAAAAAAAACCATCCTCGTATATATAGATAACTCCTACCTAATAACCATGTCATCCAAGAAGAGTGTGGAAGCAACAAAGTCTAAGAAGAAGGCTATAGTATTGGCGATTGAAATGAAAAAGAAACTAATAGTGAAGCATGAAAGTAGTACTTGTGTGCAGGATCTGGCTTGCTTAAGATTCCATGTTTAAGATGCTGAAGTCAATGGTGTACACCATTCTTAAGAACAAAAAGGCAGTAAAAGAAGCAGTAAAAGCAGCAAATGTAACTAAAGGTGTGACAATGTTGACCTCCAGGAGATTATGTTATTGAGGAGATGGAAACCTCTCTTAGCGTGGACAAATGAAAAGCAATTGGCTGGTGATATCATTTCTGAAAGGATTATTTATGAAAAAGCCAAGCTATGCATAGTGATCTTAAGAAATGGGACATCACTACTTCTCACTAAGGTACAGTAAATGCAACTTTTATTTTACTATGCAGTATACAATTAAAAACATATGGCTTGGGTACATCTTTAATTTATGAAAATTTCTAAAGAGCTTTAGAATAAATTGTATACATAAGAAAGAATAAAGAAATTTGTAAGATATAAGTCAAAATCCTTATTAACAATTTAATACTGTTATTAAGAATAATGATTTATATCTTACCAATTTTTTAATTCTTTCTTATGTATACAGTTTACTCTAAAGATCTTTTGAGATAGGAATTTTCATAAATAAAAGATGTACCCAAGCCATATTTTTTTAATCAAACAAAGAGAAATATCAATATTAGCAAAGAAACTGAAAAAAAAAGAGATTTGTATGTAAATATATTTAAGAGAGAATATGCAAAGAAATAGATAGTTCCAAACTCTAAAATGGCTAAGTTATGCATTGATAATATGGAAAGTATAATTTGTTTTTTACACACATATAAATGAAAAGAATTAGATAAACTGAAATATGTTCAGTTAAAGTTTACCTAGATGTTCGAAATCACTTTCCTATCTATAAAGAAGGATTACTAATATTTATTAATATTCATTCACAATAAAATATTAAAATACTGTTATAATCAACCTACCTTAATACCTGCACTACGACACTTAGCCACTGCATCAGGGACAGCAGCACGAGGTGGATCTATCATAGCAACCAATCCCACAAACCTTAAATCTTTTAATGGAAAATTTTGTTCATCCGAATCAAAAGGATATCCAGGTGGATACTTATCAGGAGGCAACTCAAAATCACAAAAACCTAAAATATTAAGACAAAAGATTGATAATTTTAAAAAATTTAATAAATGTTTAAATTCATTATGTTCTAAATAAACAATTTCATAGAGATTTTATTAAAGATAATATTCTATTTATTTAAAAGTTTCTAAACATAAAAGTCTCCTCTAACATTTAAGTTCATAAGTGATTTTAGTTATAAGTATCAATTTGTTTTTACAGTCATATTTACAACTAAGAATCAAGAGCTAGAAATAAAACTAAACCAATAAGCATTCACATACTAAAATAATAATTGGTTAACTTCTAACTCTAACTCTTGATTTCTGAATGTGAATAAAAACATTAAAAATTCTCTCATTGACAAAAAGTTACATGTCCAGATAAAATTGTCCAATTACTGAAAGCTCAAAATGCAGCTTTGTCTCAAACAGGAAGGCTACGTACAGTAGATGATTACAGTTGTGGTCTCATTGCACACCAAATAATGTCACCAGAGTAACTTATAATTGCTACTCCAGTATCCTATAGAAAGGCTCGTTGTATACATAATTTTCAGTTTACCTGTTGTTTGAAAGTCTTTGAATGCCAGGCATACCTATACAACAAGTCAACAACATTACACACTGCTGAGTGAGTTTGAGAAAGGCCAGCATCATCAGGCTGAGAGAAACAGGATAGTGTTTTGCTGAATTGCCTGCTATCTGGAATGTTCTGATTTGTGATAGACTAATTATTGGATTGGTATCAGAACTGCTTTATATCACGATGCTCAATAAAAAATCAGATATTCAATTATTGGTTTATCAGTTATTTTTAAACCTATATATGATATTTCCAATATTGTAGGGAGGTTAAATATATCTTGTGTAATAGCTCATTTTGCTGATATTTTAAGTTTTTAACATTCTCATAAACACTGCTAATTAGACTTTCTTAATACTTCATTTAGAAAAGGAAATAAGCACCAAACTGACACAATGTGAGACATTTTCAAGAATTAGATAGTTTTGATGAACCCAAAGCTTCAGTTTGTATAAAAGTGAAACACAGCTTTAAAGAAACAAAAAAGAAAATCTGTTTTTAACAATATTTAATTGTTGAAATAAAAAAATTTTTACTCATTTTTCCCACATGGAAAATCTGCATATTGTGCTGTTTCAGTGGTAATGGTCGTGTTTTGGTCTATACATAACTTTATTTTTATTTTTTTGTTTGGGTTGTATAAAGAGTTGGCAGCACTTTAGAGGGAGGAAAGGAGTATTTAAGGCGTTGTGGATTGGCTGTCAAGGTCTTTTTCCTTTGTGTATATTCAGATGTTCTGAGGAACTGTGTTGTGAAGTGAAAGCAGTATCTAGACAGACAGGTAATATCAGACTAGTAGACCAGAGGATTGGAACATTTGTTGGGTTTCAATCAATTGTCAGTAAGGAACGTTTACCGAGAATTCGTTTCTACATGGGACGGATATGTCTTGTTTGGCCAAAAGGATTTGTATTATATAAAACTCATTGTACAAACGAGCCTGTATAGTTCGTAAGTGACTGTATATGTGTCCTGTAACATCTGTGTAAATTTTGTATATCTTGACATTCTGTGTGTACATAAACTTAGTGTTAAGTTGGCATTACTTTGTCTTCCTTCCCACATGGTAATATTTCACATTCACAATTATCTTAATACTGATTATTGTAATCCCCACAATATAAATAAATTGTGTTTAAAGATTTTTCTGGATTTTGTTGATAAAATAGCTAAATATAAGTTTTATCATTTTATAGATACACCAGCAGATGAGCCTGGTCTTGCCCGGGCAAAAAACATCAACAAAGATTAAGATTATTAGATTAATTTGTACTTCTAAACCTTCTATTCTAGAAGCCCGGAAGTCCTCTAGTGGGCATTCTAGCAGCAGCAATGTCATTCTGTGGTATAAATAATGAATTCCTATTACAAATAAAAATAATAATATACTGAATTTCTCATGGCATACCCTACTAAAACGCAGCCAAAAATGCAAAAAGCCAAATCAAATAATAATATACTGAATTTATTGTTAATTTAAATAATAGCTAGGGGCATCCCTAGTGGCCATTTTTGGCATACTATGACAGAACCCAGTTTTTCAGCTTTATATAGTAGATTTTTCTTTATTTTCCATAGACATATTTCAATGTATTAATATTTAAAGTATTACTTTTTAATAGATTAAAAAAAATCAAATATGGTCAAATTTGTGAAAATAAAAATATATTGAAAAAAAAAGTAAAAAATTTGCAAAATTTAAAAACAGAAATTTTTGCAAATTTTCTTTTTCTTGTATACAAAAAAATATTTGTGCATTTTTAAAATAATTTTTGGAAAAAATATACGTGATCATTGCTGTCATAAAGAGTGCATTGTGTCAAAGTAGCTCATCCCATGGCATTGTGAGAATACCTGTTGCATTCAACTTCAATTACACTATTGGCTAGAATATTAGTCAGTTTTCCCCCCGTTTTAAAGAGGAGGGAAATTGTTCTCAACTTATATTTGTGTCCAATTAAAGTTTCCTTCAATTTCAATATCTATCTTTGGTACATGTTGTACAGAGTTAAACTGACTCTAAAATTTGATGCTTTGATTGTTTAGCAATGTTAAACACAAAATTGTGACCTATCATGCTGCAATCTGCAAACCACCACAAGAATTAAGTGTTTGACATGATTATAAAATAATTGATCAGTTGCTTGTTTTTGAACAATCAACTAAAGTAACTCAACTGCTGTTGTTGTATTCAACAGAATCAGTCAGTTTTGATGATTTCTACAGAAATTGTATTTTATAACTTTTTAATTTTACTCCAAAGAGGAGTTTTTACTAATTAAGCAATTATCAAAAATTAAGGGAAGGTTCCTGAAAATTTACTGCATAATTTGTTCTGTTGTAAGGGGTAAATTTCTATTGTAATTATAAATTTATGTATTTGATATGATTACATGTTTTACATTTTAAAACACTTTTTATAAAGCTTTTTCGCAGACAGTTATAAACAAAATAAGACAATCAAAAATGAAACACAAAGTTTCAGATTCATTTTCAATAGTCATAAAATTGCAAGTACACTTTCCAGAACACATATGAAATGTGCAAGGAAGCCTACTATCCTGGTGTGATATATATACAGTATGCTTCACAGCCTGTTACCTGGTTTATTGTCTTGATTACTCCCTTTTGCTCTATAATTTTAAATAATTTCATTTACATTAGAGAGGTTGAGGCAGACGTTTCAAACGTGTAAACGTGTAGTCGGACGCTCGGCGCCGCTTTCCCGTAAGCCTAAAAGTTTGACAATGGTGTTTGGATAGTCGGTGGAATCACGCTCAACATTCCAAACACCATCGTCAAACTTCTAGGCTTACGGGAAAGTGGCACCGAACGTCCGTCCTACACGTTTACACATTTAAAACGTCTGCCTCAATTTCTCTATTGATAGCAACAAAAAATAATTTTTTTTCTATAAAACATAAAACATTAATCCATTGAAATAGTATAATTTAAATACAATTTGTAAAAATTTTAAGAAAGCAATCAAAAATTCATTTATACTGATTGATTCCCAGGTATTTGTAAATACAAATTCAAAAATTTTTATTACTAACTAAAGTCATTTTGAAAACAAAGAAATGTTTGTATTATGTGGAACATGACTAATTTTCATAATCAATAACAAATAAAAAGTAATAAAAATTCCACATATTATTCTAAAACTTAGAATACAGTAATAATAGAATTATGAAAGATTATTAATGAAGACAATTATAAAAAGTTTTTAGAAAGATTATATTACCAAAAACTTGGACAGAACAGAGGCTGCTGTACTGTTCAAAGAGGCTGAAGAGCATGATGGTAATGAAATAGGATACAAGGATGATGACAATGAAAGGTTCTAATGAAGATAAAAGTGATGAGGTATTGTTTCAATGACTTTCCAGATTTTTTAATGCAAATTTCTAAATTTTTGTATGTAAATAAAATGAATAATAATATATGATAGAATGACTTATATTCATAATAATATAGTATTTTCTATTTTATTTTTATTAATTAATNCAGCCACTGGTATCAACTGAGTATAACCCACTAAATACTGTATTATAATAATAATAATAACAATAATGAGGTTGCGGCCAGTTTTCATCTCTAAAATGTCAAACATCAAGCACTATTATCTTATAAGTGGCACTCAATGTTATGTTTATGCTTTAAAGATGAAAACTTTGACTGCAATTTTGCTAATAATAAAACTAACTGCTAAAGTTCGGGTTACCAAAAAACATTTAATCAGAAACATTTTCAAGTTTCAATTGTGTAGTTTATAACAAACTTTACATATTCAGCTGTTTCATTTATGCCATGTACTAATAAACTGTTACACATTACACAAAATGCTTAGTTTTATTAAACAGATATTGAAATATATACCTATTTCAACATCTGCAGAAATCAGATTAGCATTTCAAGAAGTGACCAGAAAAAATAGACAGACTTTGAAACTAATATTTATTACAGGATGTTCTAGCACTTCAAGAAATGGAAATTTCAGCATGTGGCTAAGACATGTATATTCATACTGGATTAAATAAAAATGATTCCATTAAGAAATAAAATGAAACTTTAATAAAAATCTAAACATCATCTTAACAAGAATTTAAAATTTTATTTAATCTTGTTTTGTATGTAAATAACTGAATTTTGTTACCAATAATAAATGCATATTAACAGTAATACCTTGGATTAACATTTTCTACTGGGATATCTAATCTTTCTGCAATATCTTCTATTGTTTCATTTCCTTCAGAAATTATACCAACTGATTTAGCAATTGCTTTAGCTGTAATAGGATGATCCCCTGTCACCATAATTACCTAAAAATAGAAATATTTTCAATAAATTATTCATTAAAATTACAATCATCAATTTGAAAGAAAATTATTTTAAGCCTTTTATAACTTCTCCATTTATTTGCTGAAAGTAAATATATTCAGATTCTNAATTTGAAAAATGTACCTTCTTCAACTCCTGTAACAATTTTAATTTTATTGTTTTTGTTTTACCAGTTTTCATTTTCTATCTGATGATGCCAAAACAACTTTTTTGTATTCAACAAACTTTTTTTTACCACTTACTTTATATCAGCTATTTTCTAAACTTTTAATGAACTTAAACAGTGCTTAGGTTACAGAATTTATGACTATTATATATCTCATTATTTAATTTTCTCATTAGCTTATACTTATTTCATATTTGATAAATTAATGAAAGATACCACAAAAAAATTCTGTCATAATATGCAGATTATTTAATCTTATTTCCTTGAATAAGATTTTATACTTAGATAACATATTTCAAGACAGTTAAATATGCAATAAAATTATTATTATATTATATACTACTTAATTAAATAAAAAACTTCATTTTTCAAATTTTGTTTTGCAAATTTAAAAATATAGAAACAAAAAATAAATAGTTTTTAATCTGCACAGAAATATCCTTTTAAAAAAATTAATTATTATTGCTTATTGACAAAGGTCTAAAATGCATTATCAAAGTTTTTAATTATATCATAATATTAATAAAATATTAATGACTTGATTATGTATACTCTGTATTCAAAAACAACAGTTACATATAAGTATAACATTTATATTTAGTTATGTGTACTCAGTTGAATTTTTATATATACAAACATTATATAACTAGCTTCTTGACTTTCAAAAAGACAATATATCAGGAAGAACTTTTATCTATTTTCTGCTTGACAAAGCATAGGAAGTAATAAAGCTTCAAGAAACAAACTTTGCCAACTGCCAGTCACATGACAACTCAGGACAAAGGAATTGGAAAATACAAAAACACCTGAAAGTCTAACTTTCCCTCATTAGACATTCAGCTAGTCAGCCAGACACGCAGCCAATTGACAAAGAAAACATTACTTTGGCTCTTGCATCCTATTTTTGTACATAACAGGATTTTTATATAGTTGTGGCTAATATATTGTGAAAATGGAGACTTGCAATATACTGTATATAATATACCCACACATACTTGATATACTTTTTAAAAGATTTGTATGATATCTTTAACATAAATATTAGTCTGTTATAATGCAATGTATTATATTTTAAAATTTTGTCTTTTATTGCTGCATAATTTTAAATCTAATTTAATATTATAATTTCAAATGAGTTATAAATTTTAAGTTTTTTTATAACCAAAAATCTGAAATTAATATTTTAGTTTTTAATTTGTCAGCAATTTATTTAGTATACATTAGTAACTACTGTATTTGAATAAAGCAGTTTATATGATTCAAGTCAATTAATGATGTTGATTCTGCATTGTTTAGTATGATTAATTATTTACATTTTAAAATAAAATAAAAATAAAATCCTCTTACCATATCAGTGCCTAAATCAATACATAAAATAGTAACAGTTCCTAATGGCAAAGGAATATTTGCTAATATAAATAATAAAAATGGAGTAATCTCGGGGATGTTGCTCGTAAGAGTATAAGCAATAGACTTTTTCAAATTATCAAAAATAAGCCTTCCTGTAAAATAATAAGAATTATATCACTTCAAGATTTCTGTTCTATATCATTAAAAGTTAAACATTTCAAAAAATTAAATTACAAAAATTACATATTACACATAAATTTAAAATATTTAATATAAATTAGTGTTTATAAGTTTTAAATTATTCAAAAATACTTTCACAAACATTAAAATAAAATAACTATTATATAATATAACTAAATATATTATTTGATAATTGTTATTTGCTGTAAATGTAATCAGTATTTAAATATAACTGTATAATAAATTAATACAAATTTTTATAAAGATAATCTCAATGGACTATTCAAATATCAATAGCTTACAAAATTTCTTGGAATCAATTTCATACATTAAGAATAATATCATAAAGAAATATTGTTTTTGTTTCAAAATCATAAGAATATAATACAATGTGCAGATTATTATTTATAAATCCAAAAAACAAAATGCTTAAAATATTCAGGACTCAATTATTTATTTGGTTAACACATTTGTTGAGACCTTTATTATCTTAGCTTTGGATAACTGTAATCTGTTCTATAATCAGAAGTGAGCAGACTCTCAAGTCCATGTGTGGCTGAAAAAACACTTTCTCATTCANTGAAATATATCAATTTAGAAATATGGCATAATCAGTCTTAAAAATTCTCTGCATGTATCACTATTAAGAATTCAACAAATGAATTATTTTAATCAGAAAAACTTTTTCTATTTTCATGGAAAGGAATACAGAGAATATTCAAGCCGAAAAAAAGTTTTATTATTATATTATGAACATTGTCAATTGTTATTCCTGTCTATTAAATTGGAGAAAAGTTCTCTGACTAACAAAATTCATTGGTGAAAATGCTAACAATTATTATATGGCAAGAATTTTTATTACACTATTATGAAATTGAATTATAATTTATTTTAATATTGAGAGAATTTTCAATGTTAAGTTTACAATAAAACAATATTTTTACTTATCCTTTTTACTGAATAATTAAGTAAAAGAATAAACCAATATTCATGAAATATTTTAGTTAAAACTTTGTTTTCTTATTATAAATACAATTTGTTTGACAAAATACTGTATACATTTTCAATGAATACATTGCAATCTCATAGGAAAATTACAATATTGGATATGTCTTATTTAAGAGAAGCCATTTTCAGCAAACGTTTCACTTCAATATAGACAATATATCATAAAATTTACTAATAATCTGAAAAATTTATTGTTATAACTCAAATTACATATTTGATAAATATAAATTTTTGGATAATAAATTCTACAGCATTATAGAATTTAATAGAAAAGAATCTAATAAAGTAACTAAACAATACTTTTTAATGAAATTTCAATCTGAAAAAGTTTGTGATAAAAGAAATTTTTATTATATTTAAGCTAACAATTGAACCATCCTAGTGTTTATTATATATCATTAATATCACAAAATAGAAATATTTATCTATTCTACTTAATTTCAAATATTATCAGTTCATGAACTTACCAATAACACGCTCACCCATTCCACCTAATTCTAAATATGCATCATTAAATGCTGCTTTCATTTCATCATCAAGTGGTATTTCCTTTCCACCAATAAATATTGTAGAACATCTTTCTAAAATTCTTTCTGGAGCACCTTTCATACATAGTAAGTAGCTAGGATTATTAGGATCGTCTGTTTCATGTATTGTCACCTAGAAAAATAATAAAATTTTGTAATTAAAAAAGAGTACAAAATATAATAAAATTAATAGTACACAAATTTAGCATAAATTCATTATTCAGGTTTAATAAGTGGCAAAAAATTGGAAGAACAACATGCAAAACTATTAATCATATATAATGAATACAGGGATCTAAATTTTTTGAGATTTTCAAACATTTAACTGTGTAGCTCCTGATACACCAGTCTCTTCAAAATTATACTTTTAAAACAAATATTCAAAGTTTCTCATTCTGCTCTTAGTAGTATCTTCTTTACATTTCATAAAAGACACTAGAGTTACAACATGCAGACTTTATAAAGTGTAATTTTCACACAGTTAGGTTTTCAAATTTAAGCACAGTCTCATTGGAGCTTGAAGGAGACAAAACTGGTGTTTGGGAATAAAATCCCAAGTCATAATAATGTATACAGGTGATGTAAACAGTTTGAATGCTGCATGTTTGATGGTGAAGACAACTCAAAGTCAGAGAGACTTGCAAGATTTAACTGTTAAAAACATCACTGTTGTTAAACAACTGCTGGATAATATACATACTCCTTAATATATAAACCTTTCTGCAAAATTTCAGATATTTTCGAAAAAGATAGAAGTTATTAAGCTTCTAAGTGGCTAAACACCATCATGCTCTACACATGAACATCCATACAGAGAAAAAATCTGAAACTTTTTCTGAGTTTTTCAATATTTCAAGGACCAAGTCCTTGAATGTAAAAATCTTGGAGGTATTGTTTGACTAATTACCATACTTTCCCTCTGTTATATATAACAATTGGGAAATGATTGTGCCATTTTTTTGCCATACAAAGCCTAATAAAAATTGTCGTGTTACAACAACAACAGACTGTCACTGCCTGCCTCAGCTGGTAGAGAAGGTAAAAGAGCTGACTTAACTCTTGCTTGGAAGCATGAGTTAATCATGCTCATGGTAGGCTACAGCAAGATAGCATTCCAGCTCATCAAATTTCACTCTGTCAGGACTATATAAATAATATTGAGCTATTATTTCTTAAAACCTCCCTATAGTCCAACTTTGCATTCTGTGAATTCTCTTTCCTTACATGAATAATTAGCTCAAGAGATATTTTTGCCAATGCTGAGGAACAATTCTAAAGAAAGGAAAAGTGTATTGAAAAAAATCAGTGCATATTTTGAAAAAATGTAATAAGATAGTCTCAAAACTTTTTTAGGTCTTATGTTAATTTTCACTTTTATAATAATAATTATTTTCAGAGCAATTTGTATTATGTCTTTAAATAATTATTTATAATTCCCATTTAATAAAAAAGTTATAAATAATCATTTATAAAAATTATTTTCAATATCAGTTGATTTAAATATAATTTTCTCATTAACAAAACCAGTTAAAATTAATAGAGCACATCTTATGAGTCTTTTTCAAATAAACTTCCAAAAGATTATATTAAAATGTAACTTATATCATTTATAAGTAATTTTCTTCAACTTTTTTCTGGTTACATGATTTTAAGATATTAGTTAATTAGTTAATATATAAATATACAAAATAAATAAATGTAGTTTTAACTGAATTTTAAATATTTCAATCTAACATACTTTTGTGCAGATTACTGACAAGTTATCTGTGTTTAGAAGACAATTTTACAGGAGTGAGGTTATGTGCCAATTTTATTTTCATTCTATCAATTTTCTTTGGGTTACAGACACAAAAATACAGTAAATGATTTAATCAAAATTGTAATTGAATGAACAGAATAAAATATACAGTAAAATCAGCAAAAGCAGGAACCTGAGTAAGGCAGAAATCTTCCAGAGGAAAAGTTCAAATATTTTTCAGTAAACAATTACATTAACCTAACAAATGTTCTCTGAAAGCAAGAACATTGAGAGACATGGGGAGAATTGAGAAAATCATGCTATTACAACCCAAATACAGGGAAGTATAAATGCAAAAACCAGAAATTTGTGTTCTGTATTTCTATATCATGCAGTGCCATCTATCAGAAAATAAATTAATATTTTTTTTGTTAGAGGGAATGCAGAGTATTTTCAGGATCCAAAATTTTCCTAGTCTAAATTTTACATACAAAATTTCCCCCAAAATTGTTGCACACTAGCAAATAAAATAAAGCATTTCATGAACAAATTAATAATTATTACTATATAGTTTGAAATATTCTGATTAAACTATACAAATAATTAAATATGCCTACCATATAATTTTCCACACAATATTAAACTGATAAATTAATGTAAACATTTTTTAATTAAAAGAATGCTTTAATTTAAGCATGTATCAACATAAATAGCATATAGAATTATAAACTTGATGTAATATGTGCTACGTGATTAATGGAAATAAAATTGAATTCAAATGTGACAGGCATCTTCACCAACCCCACAGATGATCTATTTTTGTAGAAGGTGCTAATTAATGGACTTTTTGACGTCCAGAACTGTAAAATTTCTTTATGTTGATGATGGCCATGCAAATTTTTTTTCAAAAAATTATTTAAGAAATCACCAATTTTTTGAAAAAAAAAAGCAATTTTTTAGAGTTTTTGACTGACTTTTTCATTATTTTCTCTTTTTTAATCATTTTTTATTTTATAATAAATTTTAAAACATTACCATAGAAATATATTTATGAAAAATATAAGAAATAAAAGAAAATATGTTTATAAAGTGATAATAAAACTTCTATTTAGCTATTTAATTGAAATATTTCAGAAAAGTTTTTAAACACAGTTCATTCATTTGCAAATTNATATTAAAATGTAACTTATATCATTTATAAGTAATTTTCTTCAACTTTTTTCTGGTTACATGATTTTAAGATATTAGTTAATTAGTTAATATATAAATATACAAAATAAATAAATGTAGTTTTAACTGAATTTTAAATATTTCAATCTAACATACTTTTGTGCAGATTACTGACAAGTTATCTGTGTTTAGAAGACAATTTTACAGGAGTGAGGTTATGTGCCAATTTTATTTTCATTCTATCAATTTTCTTTGGGTTACAGACACAAAAATACAGTAAATGATTTAATCAAAATTGTAATTGAATGAACAGAATAAAATATACAGTAAAATCAGCAAAAGCAGGAACCTGAGTAAGGCAGAAATCTTCCAGAGGAAAAGTTCAAATATTTTTCAGTAAACAATTACATTAACCTAACAAATGTTCTCTGAAAGCAAGAACATTGAGAGACATGGGGAGAATTGAGAAAATCATGCTATTACAACCCAAATACAGGGAAGTATAAATGCAAAAACCAGAAATTTGTGTTCTGTATTTCTATATCATGCAGTGCCATCTATCAGAAAATAAATTAATATTTTTTTTGTTAGAGGGAATGCAGAGTATTTTCAGGATCCAAAATTTTCCTAGTCTAAATTTTACATACAAAATTTCCCCCAAAATTGTTGCACACTAGCAAATAAAATAAAGCATTTCATGAACAAATTAATAATTATTACTATATAGTTTGAAATATTCTGATTAAACTATACAAATAATTAAATATGCCTACCATATAATTTTCCACACAATATTAAACTGATAAATTAATGTAAACATTTTTTAATTAAAAGAATGCTTTAATTTAAGCATGTATCAACATAAATAGCATATAGAATTATAAACTTGATGTAATATGTGCTACGTGATTAATGGAAATAAAATTGAATTCAAATGTGACAGGCATCTTCACCAACCCCACAGATGATCTATTTTTGTAGAAGGTGCTAATTAATGGACTTTTTGACGTCCAGAACTGTAAAATTTCTTTATGTTGATGATGGCCATGCAAATTTTTTTTCAAAAAATTATTTAAGAAATCACCAATTTTTTGAAAAAAAAAAGCAATTTTTTAGTGAAACAATCGACAAAANCTTCTTTTTTAATCATTTTTTATTTTATAATAAATTTTAAAACATTACCATAGAAATATATTTATGAAAAATATAAGAAATAAAAGAAAATATGTTTATAAAGTGATAATAAAACTTCTATTTAGCTATTTAATTGAAATATTTCAGAAAAGTTTTTAAACACAGTTCATTCATTTGCAAATTTTCCATGCACAGAATATTTCATTTTAATTCCAAGCTGAAATGAAATTTCACATAATAAATGCTGTCAAAAAAAGTTAAAAAAATAAAAATAAAAACGGATTTTTGTTTTCAAATTTTTTAAAGCTAGGTTTCAGTTTTTTTTTATAAAAATCAAATATGTGGATTGGAAACTGTGGCTGATTCATCCCTCACATATGTCACACTCATAATATCTGTGTACACTTAATTTTCTCTTCTCTTTTTTTTTAACCAGACATTTGATTAATAAATGTTCTACTTTCACTCTGCATTTTGGTGAATTTCTTTAATTAAAATCTATAGTCTTAGCCAATATGTTACTTCATTTATTGTAATGTTTTTGCAGCTATTGATGTAGTATTTTCTACCACAAATTTCTCTGGAACTGCAAATGCAATTTGAATGAACTTATGTAAATCATAAAAAAAAACTTATTTTTTCATCCAATCTCATAAAAGAAATGTTTTCCAGATCACTTGTAAGAGAAAAATGGTAAGACTATATCTATCAATGGCAGAAAATCTACAAGAGATACCAGACAGAGAAACAATAATTCTGTTAAGTTTCATCTTTTGCAGGTTTTACTGTGTTTACAAATATATTAAATTCTGTACAAAAACATTTTTGAAAAATAAAAATTTCCTCAAAGAATAAAATGCAAATAAATTTTATACTTCAAAAGTTTAACAGTAAGAATCTATAGGTATTTACTAGGAATCTAAAAATTGCTACTCTACAATAAAGATTAGATTAACAAGTTTCAAAATAATTTTGTTTGAAACTGAATCATCAGATAGATTATCATCAAATTTAAGTTATAGTTGGTATAACAAATATTATACTTTAAAGTTGTTCTCATTATTTAAAATTTGTATTTGTCATATTTTTGTTGCTATAATTTTTAAAATAAGGTCTTCTTATGAGGATTTTTTAAAATTTATTGATAAATTTTTGGATCTTTGCATTTTCTAACCTTGCATCTATTGTTAAAAAAAAACAAAGTTTTCAATGTTAAAATTTCTTAACTAAATGTACTTTATGTTGAAAAACCTTAAATCCTTTCAAATATCAAAAATCTGTATAATGATAAAATAAATTAAAATTATAATAATATTGGCAGCAATAATTACAGTACATAAAAATATTTTCAGAGGAACTAGTTATATGCTCTTTTCCTGGTTTTTATTTATTTCTACTCTATTGATTCTAAGAGTCTTTTATTATGTCCATCATAAATTTAATTATTCTGTAATGGAGTGGCTGAATGATTAAGATACAGAGCCTGACATCTGGATCAAACCAACCATGAAAGTTTGAAACACTGACTCACACTCAAACTTGAGTCTCCAAAGTGACAGGCTGATGACTTTACTGTCTGACCAACTAGCCATTATTATTTCATTAAGATTAAGAAATAAAAAATTTTGTAATATAGTGAACTAAAATATGTTAAGCTTAGGATATCCAATCCAGATTTAATTAGACCAATAAATTTAATATAGTAAAATAATATTCCATTTTATTAAATTAAAATGTAAACTTAAATTAATGGTAGTCTACACTAAAGTAGTAACAGCAAATTTAGAATATTGTAGATATTTTTATAATAAATTTTACCATATATTTATTTTTGCATTGTCACTGCCTTGTACCATTCAACACAATTGAAAGTCCAATAATCCATAAGCAATACATTTAGTAATCTAAATAAAATTTAATCATGTAGACAGCAAAAATGAAATTTAAAGTTTCAAATTTTATAATTTTAATTTATTTGCATAATAATTAACATTCAATTAAAAACAAAATAAATAATTATTACAGTCATGCCAATAAGCAGCTTTTTTAGTACTAAAATGTTTGCTCTTCCTTTAATGATAGCCTCTAAGGACAATTTTTCGGTCCCTTACTAAATCTACTGATAATAAATTTGTAATATTTTTCAAGAGTTTTATACATATACAAAAAGTCAATTCAATGGATAGTTCTTTCAAACAGTTGCAACTTTTGAACTATCCAATATATGTAAATTAATGAACATATCATAATAAACATATATAAACTTCACAAATACATACATGATATTTATTTGTTGAATTAAAAGGAATTTCACAGACTTTATGGTTACGTTGACGGTAAGCTACAACATTTCCTGTAGCTAATTCCATACATTTTAAAATTGCAGATTCAGAAGCATCGCCTGTACATTCTCTGAAATTCAATAAAAAAACATACAGTTTTGAAGAAACTTTAAACAATTAGTAATATATTATTTGTAAATCTTATATCTTCTTGACTTAGATATTTTGTTTAAGTAATTAATTATTATTTAAATGTTAAATAGCATGTTAAATGTTTAAATAATTAAAAATTTTAATTTTTATAATTAAATTTAAAATGCAATATCAAGCAATATAAGTTCAATTTGAAATAAAGACAAATAATGAATTTAATGACTATGCTTATATATAATGCAAACTATCAAGTAATAATTTTCATCTTTAATTTCTAGATATTCGTAGAAACATGTTCATTTTGTTATCTTAACATTTGTAGTTACATTTTTATAGTTTATCTGATAGAATACAAACAAACAATGATTAAAGTATTTCTTTGAAGCATAATCACCATCAGTACTGTTATACAAATTAACCTACTTTTTGGCATTCAGGCATTCAATTAATATCAGGTTTTTCTATTCCTGATCTACTACAGTTTTATTAATATCTTTAATTTCATATTAAAGAATATAAAATATATTGTATAGAAAAATTACACATAAAATCACAATATAATTTCCTAAAGGGTATTTAAAATTTATCTTACAGAATTAATAATTTAATTTAGATCATACCTCTTTAGAACAGGAATGTTTTCTTGCCCAGGCTTAAATTCTGCTCTGCTGCATAAACAGCATACACGTGATAAAGCCTTCCATCCTAAAGAAGTTTTATCATATTGCACCCCTAATAGAAAAAAATAAGGAAAATAAAAATCCACANTGTCAGATGTTTAGCTAGTTCCTGGTGCAGTGATGTAAATTTTTTGTACCAGAAATTATAATTGTTCTTTTTTGATTGACAACCCTTTGTTCAGTGACACTGAGATTGAGGATATTGTTGTGTGAATCTATGGTGTAGTTGTTGTCTGTATGCTGTCATGTTTGTTTAGAGTTTTGTGATGATGTAGTAAGTATGGATGATAAACTTGTTCATTTCTATTGTTCATTTCATCCATTGGCGTGGTTTCCAGCCTTTGTGGTCTGTGAATGCATTGCCACAGAAACACCAAAGCTAGGTTGATTCTTCACATCTGTTGAGGACATTGCAGTAGACATGCTTGGGTCGGCGCTGCTTTTGCCACCTGTAACCAAGGGGAGACTGTGGCATATTTTTTGAACGTGAGCCTCTGCCTAACCCACAAACGTGGACCTTGTTAACCCAGGTGACGTCCGAGCTGGTATTATACTTAGATCTGGTTACTACCATGATAAATATCTTCACAGAATGTGGGTGTGGTCACTCTTAGCTTCATTTCTCCCCGTAGACCTTACTGGCATGAGTGTCCCTACCAGGAGATTGTGCTCCAACCTGCATTGCCCTATGCATCAGTAAATTACTGGGCTCTCCCACCAATAATTAATATATCTTAATAAACTATGTATTTCAAATAGTTTATTAAGATATATTATAAGAAATAAATGATATAATCTACATTATTTCTTTCAACTAATACATATAACATTGCAGAATTAATAATTTAATTGAGATCATACCTCTTTAGAACAGGAATGTTTTCTTGCCCAGGCTTAAATTCTGCTCTGCTGCATAAACAGCATACACGTGATAAAGCCTTCCATCCTAAAGAAGTTTTATCATATTGCACCCCTAATAGAAAAAAATAAGGAAAATAAAAATCCACAACTAAATATCTGAAAATAAATAATTATTACATTATAAAATATTAATATAATTTCCTATTACTTAAATTAATTCAAATCTGAACTGAATACAATGATTAAGAACTCTTTAGTTCTATCCAGGGTCATAATATCAATAGAAAACTGTAAGGCTTCCTGCAAATTTTATGAAGGGCCCACCTTTTACTTGTTTCAAATCCACAAGCAAATCTTATTAAATTTAAATTATTTACTACTTTTTCATTTCCTTTTTTTTAAAGATTTCCTATTAGAAAATCTCATATAAATCTACTGTACATATAAGTTACGTTAATTAATGTAATGAAATATCACTCATTTGGATTTATCACTTGTTTTTGGTCTTTTAAATATAAAAATGCTTTAGCCAATAATGAATCAGTGATATCACACCATCTGATATATTTTTATTTGGTTTGTGTCCCTATATGTATGATATAATGAGGTGCTACTGTATATATAAAATATGTTAGGAAACACTTTGCTTATGTTCCTGTTAAAATCACTGTAGGTAAATATGTGTTTCCTTTACACAGTTGAAGAATATGGGTGTCCTGGGACTAGAGATAAAAAGAAAATCATTTGTAGTAATTACATTACAGGTGTGTTTTTGCATACAATCAGTTTTTGTTTAACTGATTATAGTGTCTTCAGGTTTGGTCAACTTTAATGTAAATAACTTTGTCAAGTTGTAAAAAATTAGGTAAGTTGTTTAAGAGTTGACATCACAATCAAAAAAACTAATACATTGTTGATAATGCTGTTTATTAACAGATAAACAAAGTATTTCTGCTGAAACAGTATAAATTAGAAGTGATGATGTAAAATAAAGTTAAACAACCAGCATTTGGTTAACTGCACAAAAACATGTCTTATCTATCTGTGAATGGTTTTAGATTATAGTTTGCTTTCTACAATGAAAATCTGGCTGACTACTTCAGTATCAATCTGTCAGAGTCATTTGCCATTTTGAGAGTACTTCAATTCTTCAGTCAACATTAGTCCTCCCTCAATGGAGACACCGTTGATGTTATATCAGACAGCAGGTTTGCCCTTCTCCAACTTATAGGCAGATGCCTTCTAACATGCATATCATTAACAAATCCATCAAACTTCTCTAGGAACTACAGGGGACCCTAAGTATAAACTTCTACTGGGTAAAGGGGTACTATGGCAATGTGGACAATGACAGGGCAGTCTTTCTTGCCAAGGCAGCAGCAAGATGTTCTGCAGCATTACCTACTATTCCCTTTTCCCCTTCTGGGTAAAGTGTAATATAAAACAGTAATTACGGAACTTTGGCAAGCCGGCTGGCTGGCTGGAAAGGCAGATACTGCTTTTCCAGCCAGCTTGCCAAAGTATTGGCCAAAGAAGTACTGGGAGATTAACCTTATCTTTCCTCCTAAAGATCTCAGAACTGCCTTTCCTGGTGCCTAGCTTCTATCTCACCCAGTTTATTACCAGACATGGCAAGTTTAGGGCATACATCAGTAGGTTCTTCAGCCATGGAGATGGAAAATGCCCATACTCTCTTCAGGCTCAGGAGGAGTCCAACTACTTCCTGCTTGAATATGAAATGTTTTCCCAGGAAAGGAGGCATCTAATTGCTATAACAATTAAAGAACGATTGGCCTGGCCATGCAACCCATCTGATATTATGAAGAACAAGAGCATTTACAAGGCTTTAAAGAGCCATGTGCACTAAGTAATGATTACTCTAAAAGTGAAAATAATATTGGACTTCACGCCGAATATTGGATAAGTAAAGTTGAGAAAATTATCATCTAGGCGTTAACAACCTACAGCTATCGCTACAAACAACTAGCGCTTTCAACGAAACTATTTTCGTCTTCTTCAGGTTGAAAGAACAGTTAATAACCTTCAAATTCAAATTACAGCAACGGCAAACCAGCATTGGAATAAAATCAAAATAGAACAAAAACAGAATTTGAAAGACGCGCGCTCGATGCCGACGCGCATGAGCAATAGAATGTTTACCACTTGATTTTTATCACGGAAAATAATTACTTTCGGTTCAATGGGAAAGTTTATTTACAGAAACAAGGGGTACCTATGGGCTCTCCGCTCTCTGCTATATTAGCGGAATTACTCATGAGATGTGTGGAGCAAAGAGTGTTTACCTTCCCTCTCACCATAGCATACCCACTATTATATCTTAGATACGTGGACGATATCTTAGTAGCCTGGCAACACACGGAAAAGGAATTCCATATTCTCAAAAGTTATCTTATGGAGGTTTATTCTACCATCAAGTTTACCTGGGAAAAGGAAGGTGAAATTGCGTTTTTAGATCTAAACATCACCAAAGCCCAGGGTGTGATAGTGTTCCATAAGTTCAACAGCATACCTCCTTTAATCCCTGCCACCGCGTACCAGCCGCGGCACTACGTCAACGCAGCTATCGCCCCTCTAATTAGAAGGGCCTTTTTGTTGTCTTCCAATCAAGCTCTTGTCGACATCGAGCTTGAAGCTATAAGTGCAGCGGTAAGTGCGGCGGGTTACACTAGATCTAAGTACTAAGTACAGGTACATCCTTAGAAAGGTTAAAGGTTCTCTATTTCCTGACAAGACTTTGCGGGCCTCGGAAGAATATATGATTATCCAGCCCCCATTACCATTCTGTGGCCGTATTACTGGCCGCATTTGCCGTATTTTTAGGCAGCATGCGCTTTTCCTGCCAGTGTTGCCACGGCCAAGTCTTAGAAGAATGTTATGCAATGACAGGGATCTTTTTTCTGCACTAGAGCGGTCTGGAGTGTATTCCATCCATTGGAAAGTACAACATCTGGTACTCATACCCAGTATATCGGAGCGACATCCAGAATGTTGTCTTGCTGCATCTCTGAACACAAACAATCTATTAGTACAGGTAGGTGAGACACCGCGTTGGCAAGATTGGTGTTGCAACCCCAATACACTCCGATGTGGGACCAAGCGGGGATACTCAAACAGTGTGATAGCAGGAACCTCTTGTATATATGGGAAGTGCTATTTACCAGTGTGCTAAATCCATGCAACACCCCCACGCTGGATGTGCCTTCATTGTGGGTCAACTTATACAACAGATTAAAACAACGTCGCTAGCTCCGCATTCTCGCAAAACATTCTATTGCTCATGCGCGTCGGCATCAAGCGCGTGTCTTTCAAATTCTCTGTTTTTGTTCTATTTTGATTTTATTCCAATGCTGGTTTGCCGTTGCTGTAATTTGAATTTGAAGGTTATTAACTGTTCTTTCAACCTGAAGAAGACGAAAATAGTTTCGTTGAAAGCGCTAGTTGTTTGTAGCGATAGCTGTAGATTGTTAACGCCTAGATGATAATTTTCTCAACTTTAATGATTACTCTAAATAACTATATCACATATTAGTATAGCATATGTTAGGGGCAATGAACAGCTTGTATAGTATTATTGTATGGACTGACTGCAAGAACTGGACTATCACATGAACCAATGTTAAATCATCCTCCATGTCTCCATGCCCATACAAGGGCTTTTATGGGAATGCTTCCACTCTGGTATTGCACCCCTTCACATTAGTGTATTACTCTTGACTTGTGTTCCCATAGCATGTAAAATATAATCTCACTGTTTTGTTACTCACACCACCCATTACTTTAGTAATAATATACTGTAAATGTCTGTATGTAGTTTGTAATCATACATATACAAACTGTAATTTTGTGAAGTTTTGTTTTCAAAGTATAGAATCCAGCAGTAGTAATGAGATCTCACTTCCTCTCTTTGTTCTACTCTCCCTCTCTATTCTCATGTAACTACAGTAGAGCGTCGATTTTCCGAAAGTCAATCATCCGAAAGAATTCCAGTCGGCAAATTTAAATTTTCGCCAGTGCTGTGGCGCTTCAATCTTTGGCTATGTCTTGGGCTACTCAAATATTTTACGTTTTTGATACTAAATTAACATCTGAAGTATAATTTTTTATTGTTTTTATATTTTTCAATATATTTATTTTGTTTGTACAAAATAAAAAAATAATTTTTAACGATACAATAGTCTTTGTTAGGCTTAACATCGACGAAAATTCAACGCAAAGCAACATGCAACGGAGAAAAATTTCAACATTGGATACGTTAAACTGTTTTATTGTACATAAATCAGTTATCCGAAATATCAGTTATACGAACAACCCCAGTCCCCAATTGATTCGGAAAATCGACGCTCTACTGTATTACACTAACCTTCTCTCCTTCACTCTTCTGTGGCTATATCACTGAGTGCAGCCACTGACTCTTTCTCTTGTATATACAAGGGGTGCAAAAGTAAGTATACAGTTGAGAATCTGAGAAATACAAATGTTTGGTGTTCATTATTATTATTTTTATTATCTTTTATTAGTTTGTATTCCTTATTTGTGATTTAATTTGTACATGAAAATAAATGTTTTTTCTTCCTATTTACTCTCTGTATGTTTTTTTTTTCATAATAACAGCCGTAAACCTACTTTTGCACCCCCCCTGTATACTACAATAAAATATACAAAATGAAATATTCTTTACAAAATTTTTTATGTTATATTTTATATATGTTTTATTGACAACTTAAATGTTTCTTTTAGTTATGGACCCCAAATATTGCTAGGCCTTTGCACATTGTGGGGTCTGTGGAACAAATGTTATGGCTCTGATTTTAACTAGGGTTGCTCTGACAAGTGAGTCAGTGAGACAACTGTTCTCAGGTGCCAAACTGGAAGAATGTTATGATATCAAAAGATGTCATTCAAATCTTTATTACATTTAAATGATGGCTAATACAGTAAAATACAGTAATACATAGTGATGTGTAATACAGTAAAAATTTAAATTGCTATTGTTAAACATCAACGCTTAAAAAATTTTTAAACACCAACACCAAAACAAATATAATATTTTATAAAAATAGAGCTGACATCTTCAGGTTAACTTCAATCACCAAAATTGTTTATAGTGGTCTGGTTCTATTCGAAAATTTATTTCTAATTAAAAAATTTTTTAAAGGATATTTACTTTTAAAAAATTATTACCTCTAAATAAAATAATGATAACTAATAAATTTGCAAAATATAAATACCATGCTTTCAAACATATAACTTGTAGATTATCTTTGTTTAAAAAGATAAAATTCAAAGGGTATACAGGTTTTGTACCAATTTTAATTTCATTCTAGCAATTTTCTGCAGAGTATATACTATTGCAGGTTATATGAATGAAAATATAGTACAATTAATGCTGTTATCTATAGTTTATTATCTAACATTTTATTATCTTTTTTTGATAAAAAATGCTATTTACTTGTTTTGAACTATTCATAAAAAAATAAAACAACATAAACTTTTAAAAAAGGAATTTGTTCCTGTAATTAACATTTTAATTTGTTTATTAATCTGTTTTTCTTTTTTAAATTATATTTTTCTGTCATGTTCTATTTTATATTACTTTTCCAACTCTTGATGAAGTGATCTTCTGAGACACTAGACTCTACATCCACTCATTTAATTCTATATCACTCTGACTATCACTTCATTGTGAGTTAGAAAAGTAATATAAAATAAAGACACTGTTTCAACAAACAGAAAAATACTCAATTTTAATTCAAGCTTTCTGAGATTATATATATTTTTTGATTATGCATCTGTCAGAGAATTCTTCAAATTCATAAACTAATAAAGTTTTTTAAAACAAAAGATTTAAAAATTATGCTGTGCTTTTAAATTATACACTCAACCAAAAGTTAACTAGTGAATCTTCCAATTGATTTTGAAGATGGATAAACAGTATAACTACAAATATTGAAGGGATCTTATGCCAGATAATTTTATTATAATTAATAAAGAAAAGGCTAAAAATATATGAAAGTTTTGAAATATATTATTATTATAAGCATTTTGAATCATATAAAGTATTTTAAAAAGTTACCTGATTGATCTTCTGTTGTATCTGCTTCAATAATTTGATTATCAAACCACATATGTGCAACAGTCATTCTATTTTGAGTTAAAGTACCAGTTTTATCTGAACATATAGTAGATGTTGACCCTAATGTTTCTACAGCTTCTAAATTTTTTACCAAACAGTTTTTAGAAGCCATACGCTTTGCTGTTAATGTCAAACACACCTTTAAAAAATTAATTATATTTAAATTTCAACAACAAAGTTAAATAAGAACAACATGCAAAACTATTAATCATATATAATGAATACAGGGATCTAAATTTTTTGAGATTTTCAAACATTTAACTGTGTAGCTCCTGATACACCAGTCTCTTCAAAATTATACTTTTAAAACAAATATTCAAAGTTTCTCATTCTGCTCTTAGTAGTATCTTCTTTACATTTCATAAAAGACACTAGAGTTACAACATGCAGACTTTATAAAGTGTAATTTTCACACAGTTAGGTTTTCAAATTTAAGCACAGTCTCATTGGAGCTTGAAGGAGACAAAACTGGTGTTTGGGAATAAAATCCCAAGTCATAATAATGTATACAAGTGATGTAAACAGTTTGAATGCTGCATGTTTGATGGTGAAGACAACTCAAAGTCAGAGAGACTTGCAAGATTTAACTGTTAAAAACATCACTGTTGTTAAACAACTGCTGGATAATATACATACTCCTTAATATATAAACCTTTCTGCAAAATTTCAGATATTTTCGAAAAAGATAGAAGTTATTAAGCTTCTAAGTGGCTAAACACCATCATGCTCTACACATGAACATCCATACAGAGAAAAAATCTGCAACTTTTTCTGAGTTTTTCAATATTTCAAGGACCAAGTCCTTGAATGTAAAAATCTTGGAGGTATTGTTTGACTAATTACCATACTTTCCCTCTGTTATATATAACAATTGGGAAATGATTGTGCCATTTTTTTGCCATTCAAAGCCTAATAAAAATTGTCGTGTTACAACAACAGACTGTCACTGCCTGCCTCAGCTGGTAGAGAAGGTAAAAGAGCTGACTTAACTCTTGCTTGGAAGCATGAGTTAATCATGCTCATGGTAGGCTACAGCAAGATAGCATTCCAGCTCATCAAATTTCACTCTGTCAGGACTATATAAATAATATTGAGCTATTATTTCTTAAAACCTCCCTATAGTCCAACTTTGCATTCTGTGAATTCTCTTTCCTTACATGAATAATTAGCTCAAGAGATATTTTTGCCAATGCTGAGGAACAATTCTAAAGAAAGGAAAAGTGTATTGAAAAAAATCAGTGCATATTTTGAAAAAATGTAATAAGATAGTCTCAAAACTTTTTTAGGTCTTATGTTAATTTTCACTTTTATAATAATAATTATTTTCAGAGCAATTTGTATTATGTCTTTAAATAATTATTTATAATTCCCATTTAATAAAAAAGTTATAAATAATCATTTATAAAAATTATTTTCAATATCAGTTGATTTAAATATAATTTTCTCATTAACAAAACCAGTTAAAATTAATAGAGCACATCTTATGAGTCTTTTTCAAATAAACTTCCAAAAGATTATATTAAAATGTAACTTATATCATTTATAAGTAATTTTCTTCAACTTTTTTCTGGTTACATGATTTTAAGATATTAGTTAATTAGTTAATATATAAATATACAAAATAAATAAATGTAGTTTTAACTGAATTTTAAATATTTCAATCTAACATACTTTTGTGCAGATTACTGACAAGTTATCTGTGTTTAGAAGACAATTTTACAGGAGTGAGGTTATGTGCCAATTTTATTTTCATTCTATCAATTTTCTTTGGGTTACAGACACAAAAATACAGTAAATGATTTAATCAAAATTGTAATTGAATGAACAGAATAAAATATACAGTAAAATCAGCAAAAGCAGGAACCTGAGTAAGGCAGAAATCTTCCAGAGGAAAAGTTCAAATATTTTTCAGTAAACAATTACATTAACCTAACAAATGTTCTCTGAAAGCAAGAACATTGAGAGACATGGGGAGAATTGAGAAAATCATGCTATTACAACCCAAATACAGGGAAGTATAAATGCAAAAACCAGAAATTTGTGTTCTGTATTTCTATATCATGCAGTGCCATCTATCAGAAAATAAATTAATATTTTTTTTGTTAGAGGGAATGCAGAGTATTTTCAGGATCCAAAATTTTCCTAGTCTAAATTTTACATACAAAATTTCCCCCAAAATTGTTGCACACTAGCAAATAAAATAAAGCATTTCATGAACAAATTAATAATTATTACTATATAGTTTGAAATATTCTGATTAAACTATACAAATAATTAAATATGCCTACCATATAATNTAGGTAAAGAGCATACAATTATTCTACTGTTCAAAGAAATTATAAAAAAAATTAACAAAATAGTTTGCATTTGCTATAAGGTTTCATGTTATCAATATTTTCATAAAATATGAAAATGAAATGCTAGACATTTTTTGCTATCGCATGTTACTATACTAAATTTTTATTACATTTATGTATATAGTTGGTAGGAAAATAGAAATCTGTGTTGTTGCAAATAATTCCATCAATAAGAATAAAAAACAAATATGGGATGCTAATAATATTTCTATATAAAATTTATTAACTGTACAATGTTCAAGTTAGATTCTATAAATTGTAAAATAAAGCAAAGTGAACTGCCACAATACAGAGTAAATATTTGTAGTATGCAAAATATCACCAACTGTGGTTAGTGGAAAAAAGATATTCAACTTTTTAATAACAGCCAGTATTGTGTGGATAGTAATGCTCCTATAAATATTAAGTGAAATATACTTTTATATATGATTATAATAGAGTAAATTTTCTTAGAATCAAATTTTTTCAGATTCTTTATCCATTCTNTTATTAATATTTTTTTAAGTATAAAATTGTTGTACTTACTGTTACTGTTGCCAACAACCCTTCAGGCACATTAGCCACAATAATTCCAATTAAGAATATTACGGCATCTAGCCAATGATAACCTAAAATAAAAGCAATTACAAAGAACGAAACACCAAGGAAGACTGCAACACCAGTAATCAAATGAATAAAATGAGCTATTTCTCTAGCAATAGGAGTATCTCCCATCTCGAGTCCAGAAGCTAAGTTTGCAATACGACCCATTACTGTTCTATCACCTGTATTAATAACAATGCCTCTTCCAGTTCCTGTTAAGAGAAAATAATCAAAATTAACTTAATCATGTAAATTAATATTTATTTATAACGTATGTGTAATGTTTCTATTTATGTCAGTAATAATAGGAAGGCAATTTTTCTTTTCTGCTTATTTTTTGTTTTAGAATAAATTTAAATTTTGAAATATTGATTCTGTATGTTACTTTCCGGCAATTTAAATTTGTCCTTGCTTATTTTTACGAAACAGTCGAATTTTTCTAAACATATTTCATTCAAAGTTGTAATTTACATAAATTACTGTTTGAATTATATTTAAAATCTGATTTTTGGCCTTCATATTAATGTTGGAAATATTTTATCACAAAATATATAGCAGAAATTTAAAGTGGAATATTTTAAAAATAATTATTTAATTTTTATTCAAATATTCTTTTTTCTTAAATTTATTTGCCGTAAATAAATATTTTCCAGGTCATTTTCCGTGATTATAAAAATGTATTTAATATTATTTCTACAGAATTTTTTAAAATAATTTATAAAGACTACTCGAGAATATAATATTTTGTCTCTCACTTGTGTACATAAACACATAGCTGTCATGCTTTATGTAATTCTGCATTGTGGTAAGGCATTATATTACGTCCGGACACGACTATAATATCTTCTGGCTCCCATAAGTGAGATATCTTTTTTCCTCTCTGTTTGTCTCTCTGTGAGAAATACAAAACACGAGAAGTAAAGATATCTATGTATAAGCACGTGCTGAGTATCAACTGGCAGGTAAATAATGTGACTGGCTAGCAAACTATGACAAGCATCGAGCTTAGAAAACTCACTGAGGGTTAGAAGTGTCAGGTGACACGCTGTTTCTCTCCCAGCCCCGAAAACTAAGGGGCGCATAGGATACTAGTGGGAGGTTGGAAAAACATTCGGGATAATTTTTTCTGGTCGATGTCACCACCGGTGCGATAGAGTTACATCTTCCCTCTCCGTCTGATGACCTACAGAAAAACGGGGCGTGGATCCCAGAGTACGTGACAAGTAATATTAACAGGCCTATTGCAATTAAGGAAATGCTAGACTATCTCCGATGTTGTCAGCTGTGTTTTAATATATCAGAAATATATGTAGGGACTATCTCTTATCAGTTCCACTAAAGTTATTGCAGATTACACGATACAGAAAACGAACTGTATTTTATCGCATTGAGCTTGTCAAATGACTTGTGTATAGACTGAAAAACATTATCGAATCTAAACTACGTCATTAAATTGAAACAGTTTAAATAATTATTACAGGATAAATAAGTATTATACTAATAAAATTTAATCAAATATCAGCTAAGGAATGATGTGCGAAATGATTAAATATTGAATAAAGATATCTAATTTCAGTTTTTTAATTCATTTTTTTTTCTATTCTCTACTGTTGAAGGAAAAAGAAAAACTTGATGTTATTTAACGATAGTCTGAATTCAACAGTTTTTTTAAATAACATAAACCAGTTTCTTGTTTATTTATACGTATTACCGAGATTAAATTTTTAACCTTTCATTGTTCGAATAGCTCGTATAAATACAAATATAAATATATAAACATGCGTTATGCGTTATTTTAAAAGATAAACTTATATTCTTTAATATTATTTATATTACATAATTGTCTAAGGTTTATAAACGAGAAGCAACGTGGCGACTCAGGAAGTATAGAGAGATAAGAGTATCTTTATGAGGTCTACATGGTATTGGATTTTCTAAAGGGTCACGAACTGAACCCTTTGATTTCATAGCTTAGAAACAAATCTGATTTATTGCTTTGAACTTCAGTTATATAAAGTTACTACTGTCTCCTCATTAAAAAAATAGACAATTATGTATTAACTGTTTTGCAAATCGACTAATAATGAGTCATTTTTCTATCTATATACGCTCGTATAATGATGTATTTTATTATATATATAATAAAAATATAACGGTTTTAGTACTGTGTTGAANACAGGGGAGTAACTAATAAATCTTTAACAATGGTAAAGTTGAAGAAATATTAACTTTTCACCCCAATTAAAAGGCCATCTTAAGGCATAAACAGATTATGGTTTTGTTAGACCTATCTGCACCTGAAGATAACCCATTCATTGGATCAAAAACAATATTATTTCTCCAATCTTACCCAATGTTACAGGTATATTGGTTATCTCATTAAATTAACTACAATGGCTAGTTCAATTTTATGATAAATAAAGAATAAAATCACTAAAATACGAAATCATGTTTGTTCACATATGATTATTCATGGGGTAACTATACATTGCATTATTAAATTCATGTGAATATGAAAAGCATGACCCAAATAAATAGTGATACAGTAGAGCATTGTTTATCTGAAAGCCGGTTATCCGAAACGTCAGTTAACCGAAAGCATTTCAGTCGACAAATTTAAATTTTTGCTAGTGCTGTGGCGCTGCAATCTTTGGCTATATCTTGGGCTACTCCAATATTTTTTTTGTTGATGTGTGTGATTTAGCTGGCAGCACTGGCAATTTTGTGTGGTGTTTTTCTGAGGACTGTGTGTCGTGCTGAATCGAATGTTTTTGATACTAGATCAACTTCTAAAGTATATATTTTTTGGTTTTTATATTTTTCAATATATTTATTTCGTTTGTAAAAAATAAAGAAATAATTTTTAACGATACAATAACCACAATTATTATTTTAAAAAGTTTACGTTAGGCTTAACATCAACAAAAATTCAACGCGAAGCAACACGCAACTGAGAAAAATTTCAACACGGGATAGGTTAATATATTTTTTTGTACATAATCGATTATCCGAAAAATAAGTTATCTGAACAACCCCAGTCCCCAATTGATTCGGATAAACGACGCTCTACTGTATGTAGAGAAATGTATAAAACCCACATAGCAAATCTTTCTTACTCTAGTTTATTCACATAGTATGTGTCCCAAAGGGTAGAATACTGTGTCTGCACACCTTATTCTGTTTAATATGTAGAATATAGTATTCTTTCTTCAATCTTTTCTGTCCTTTCACATTTAACTCNAAGATCTACAGATTTAATTAGCATCAACCAACTATTCGAATACAGTGGTACATCAGGATACGAAATTAATCCGTTCCGAAACTAAGATGGTATCATGAAGATGTCGTAAGGTAAATTATTTTTCCCCATACCACGTAAAACCAAATAATTTGTTCCCCATACTCGTAAAACCAAATAATTTGTTCCAACACGAAAAACACACTGAAATGAAAGCTAAGTACAGTAGAGAGTCGTTTATCCGAAAGCCGGTTATCTGAAAGCCGGTTATCCGAAAGCATTTCAGTGGACAAATTTAAATTTTTGCTAGTGCTGTGGCGCTGCAATCTTTGGCTATATCTTGGGCTACTCCAATATTTTTTTTGTTGATGTGTGTGATTTAGCTGGCAGCACTGGCAATTTTGTGTGGTGTTTTTCTGAGGACTGTGTGTCGTGCTGAATCGAATGTTTTTGATACTAGATCAACTTCTAAAGTATATATTTTTTGGTTTTTATATTTTTCAATATATTTATTTCGTTTGTAAAAAATAAAGAAATAATTTTTAACGATACAATAACCACAATTATTATTTTAAAAAGTTTACGTTAGGCTTAACATCAACAAAAATTCAACGCGAAGCAACACGCAACTGAGAAAAATTTCAACACGGGATAGGTTAATATATTTTTTTGTACATAATCGATTATCCGAAAAATAAGTTATCTGAACAACCCCAGTCCCCAATTGATTCGGATAAACGACGCTCTACTGTATGTAGAGAAATGTATAAAACCCACATAGCAAATCTTTCTTACTCTAGTTTATTCACATAGTATGTGTCCCAAAGGGTAGAATACTGTGTCTGCACACCTTATTCTGTTTAATATGTAGAATATAGTATTCTTTCTTCAATCTTTTCTGTCCTTTCACATTTAACTCCTACCTTTGATCTTTCTCTATGCATGTTTCTTCGTGGGATTGGGCCTCCCCTTCCAGAAAGAACTGGTTTGACTGATGGCTGAGTATGGTTAGAGGAAAAAAGTGGAGACTCATAGCAGTCTTCTATGGAGAGGAACTTGGAAGAATGATGTTGGTCCATCTCTCATAGTGGGACCAAGACTTTAGTGTTAGAGAAAAGGACGATAGGGTCCTGGAGAACATGACAGGTATAAAACAATTAAAATCTCATTACCTAGTTGATTCTAGTTGTGGTTGAATCTCTCATATTAATCTGAATTTGGAGAGAGAGCAGAGTTGGTCCTCTTGAGTAGGGGATAGCTGTAATGTACATGGCTCTTTGTTTGAGATGACTTGTGACAAATTCTGTATTAAGACTGTTAATCTTATGAGAGAAAACTCATCAGTGGACTCAATTGTAAAGATCATGGTTAAAAAAGATTTTGTCTGTCAACATCCATCACACAACACCAAGAAATTTTTTGAAGAACCTGGGTACTTCTTTGTCTTTCTGTCCTCCATCTTAACTACCCTTCACCCATATCTTTCACTTTCCTTCTATGTAGTTATAATTTTAGTTTTTAAGACTTAGTGGTAAGAGTCAAGTTTAAGGTAATTTTGTTTGTATTCTTATCTTAAGTAATACTAATTAATATCTTATTTTTTGTAATTCCGTGGTGAATTCAATACAGGTTGTCTAATTATCATCATGTGTGGCTGCTGGAATTACTCCTAGAGCTGGCATTACATGTTGAGTTTTTGTATATATTTTACATAAAGGCTATAATAAAGTTTTTGTTTTGTGTTTTGTTAATGCTGTTGTGTAAATCTAATACCTACATAACAATTGGTAAATATACACCTTTCTCATTAGCTCACAGTACACTCTACCTATATATTGGTGAAAAGTGTGTATTGCATTGATCTTCCAAATTTGTGATCTAAAAACTGATCTTTTCTTAATAAAAGTTATTTTAATGTTGCATTATAAACATGAGTAAGTGCCCCTATTAAAAGAATCTAAGTAGTGGATGAAAGAGGAAAGCTTGAAATAATAAAAAATTTTGAAAGACTACAAGTTTTGAGTGCTTTATTCCTAACTCTGTATTTTCCCAAAAGTTCTGTTAGTTTTATTGCATGTGATTTTTAAGAACACACATATCATATTACAAGAGAAATAACTGTATTTAAAATTAATATTTCAGTATTAATCTTATAAAAATATCTTATATAAAATATATTGTAAATTAATTAAACATANCAAAGGAAACAACACACACAAGAAAACAATCTCGTGACTCTATCGTCTACACGTCTTCTCTCTCCTTTCTTCCGAAAAGTCCCGTTTCTTCCGTTGAGCATGCTTAATTTATAAATTCAATCATTGAATTAGAAATGTCTATTCAAAAAAATTAAAAATAATAGAGTAAAACATAAAAGTTACATGCTATTAACTAAATTGTTAAATACCTATCATAACGATATAACAAACATGAAAATTCAAAATTAATAAATAAAGTTTCTTACCTGAGGTACCATATTCTTAAATGATTCCATAATTTTTGAACTTTTTGATTCTTGATAATAGGAGAAACAACCTGTGACGATTACAACAACCGACAACACAATACCGAGGTAGAGCTATAAAATAATTGTAAATTAATATATAAACTTGACTAAATTATAGATTCAAAGTTGCAGTTGGTAGCATCTATAATTATATTTTCTGAAGTGTTTTTCCTGTAACTGCATTGAAAACATTTAACGGGAACAACTGATAAAAAAAAATAATAATAACCCTTCAATATGCAATTATAATAGTGAAAAATCACTCGATAGCATCAATGGAATGGTATTTAATACATTTATTTTTATATATTTATTTATTTATTTATTATGAGGTACACAAATTGTGTTACATACCTGGCTCCGCAGGAAGCACTACCAGTGGTATTTAATACAGTCCACCCCCCTATAACACTGTTGATTATTCCGTATTATATGAGTTCCATGTTGTACGAGTCACTTAGATTTTACAAATACGTGTGCCGGGCTGTGAACGGCTCACATATTTGTAAAATCTAAGTGACTCGTACAACATGGAATTCANTTTTACAACGTCTTCTGCTGGTAATGTTGTCTTTTGTCCATCTCGAATGATCATTGCATACTAAAATAAAGAAAATTATTTTACATAAATTATAAATTTCATATAATAAATTTTATTATTATTCAAAAAAATTAAAAATAATAGAGTAAAACATAAAAGTTACATGCTATTAACTAAATTGTTAAATACCTATCATAACGATATAACAAACATGAAAATTCAAAATTAATAAATAAAGTTTCTTACCTGAGGTACCATATTCTTAAATGATTCCATAATTTTTGAACTTTTTGATTCTTGATAATAGGAGAAACAACCTGTGACGATTACAACAACCGACAACACAATACCGAGGTAGAGCTATAAAATAATTGTAAATTAATAATAACATAATTATAATTGAAAAACTAAAAGCTGTTTTGATTTAATAATGGATAGTAAATAATAAAATTTTACAAATTTGTTAAATTTTCTAAAAATTTAATAGATAATAAATAAATCCAAACAATAATATTTATAAAGAAAACGAAAATTTAAAGATAGTCTTTAAAAGGAATCCAACAGTATATCAGCTGTTACATATGGATAAGGAAGCTATAGATCAGAGCTTTATTCCTGGAATTTACAGAATACCCATACAAGACAAGAGGTGACAAAAAGAACTGTACTACATTGGAACTACAAAAAGGTCACTAAAAGAAAGAATAAAAGAGCACAAAAGGAATGTACAGAATGATCAACCAGTCACTGCTCTAACATTGTATGTTATAGAAGACCCGACAGAGGTTTCAGTGAAATGGGAAAGAGCAGAAATAATACAAAAGATTCAGGATAGGAGACATCTTAAATATGCAGAAGCAACTATCTGATACTATAGTAAATCAGAAATTTATTGTATTTCATAATTCCAAATTCTAATCTTTTTTTTACCCATTAAAATGAATTGTTTAATTTCTTTCCTAGATTGAGAATACTTCCTTTTTAATTATTACATTTATTGTAAATTGCACATTTAATTTCTGATGCACTAATAAAGCAAATAAACAACATAAATTTGTAAAAATCACCTGATATAAGACATTTTTGTCAAAGAAAAATTGCTGCTACTTATTATATGTCACTGTGTATTAGAGGCAAGAAATTATAATAATCAAGAAATGTTTTAAAATTTTAATCATATTGTATTTCCATGCATATAAGAATATGCTCTTATATGTTATAGTGCTAATTTGTTCCATCTATACATGGGATAAAATCAATACTACATACTCCACAAAGTACCTAAAAAACTTATTATTTTTTAAAAACTTTTATAGGAAGCATTTTTTTAATTTGGCTTTTTACTTTTAATTATGGTTACCACAGAGATGTTACTGAATAGTTACTGTATCAATACATTTACATTTAATTTACATTCACACAGCAGTGTAGTGCTTTTATAAGACAAAACAAGTTTGCACACATAAGAATGCTCTTATAAACATATCAGGACATGTGTTTCAAAAATGTGAAAACAAGCAATTTTCTTATTTATAAGACCTGCTTTTATTTGTGTAGAAATATAGTATTTAAATGTGATATATTATTTGACAAAGTTTCCTAGATTAATTGAAAAAGAAGATAAGAGTTCTTTCAAATGAATTTTTAGATGTTAAATTTAATGAGTTGCATTTTAAGTCATTTTAAAATGTTTATTTGCTACTTGTCATTTTATCTTATATCTATTACATGCACAAATCTATTAACACAGAAATTAAAACAAAATTTTTGTAATGAAATAAATTCATAACTTTTCATTTTGACTATAAATTCTTATAATTTTATCTTAATTAAAAGGAATATAAGTCTATGAGAAATATATAGAATATTGTGGTCTGAAGACCACATGTTCTGTTGTGTAGCCAACTCCTTGGGTGGGCCAGAGTAAAGGAGGGAGAACGGGATATCCCGTATGCTCAACAAAGGAAAAGAAAAAGGAGGGAAGATGTGTAGATGAGAGAGTCATGAATTTTTTTTTTTTTTTGGTGTTGTTTCCTTTGTTTTAGTGTCTGTTATAGTGAAAGGACAGAGAAGTGATCAGAAGGACTAAAATAAACTTTAAATTCCTTGCATTGGAGTCATAGAGTGTGTGATTTATTTCTTCAAAGTTTCTTTTTGTTTGTCCCTGCATGGGGAATACTCTAAAGATCGAGTACTTCCCCACATAATTGGCATAAAAGTGGAGTCTTGAGAGCAAATCCTGTCGCTGACACCAATTATGTGGGAAGTATTCGATCTTTAGAGTATTCCCCATGCAGGAACAAACAAAAAGAAACTTTGAAGAAATAAATCACACGCTCTATGACTCCAATGCAAGGAATTTAAAGTTATTTTAGTCCTTCCGATCACTTCTCTGTCCTTTTGTTATAACAGACACTAAAACAAAGGAAACAACACAAAATAAAAAATAAAAAAAACTTGCACCTCTCTCGTCTACACATCTTCCCTCCTTTTTCTTTCTTCCCTCAAAAGCCCCACTTCCTCCATTGAGCATGTGCAATATCCCTCTCTCCCTCCTTTACTCTGGCCCACCCAAGAAGCTAGTTACACGACAGAACACATGGTCTGAAGACCACAGTATATTATTATTTATTTGTTTATTACTTGAAATATGAATATATTTTAGGTGGGGAGTAATACTTAAAAAATTATGATGTATTAAACAAAAATATGATGTATCTAATATTTATATGAACTTTCATGATGGATAAATATAATTTAAACAACTGTTAGTAATTTCTGAATACCATTTATATATTTCATTGAGAATATAATGAAGTCGAGTTGTTTATTTTAAAATAGAAATACATTATAAAAATGTTTGTATTTTTGTAACTTATTTTCATTCTAAATATCTTTGCTTTTATGTAATTTGCATTGATACATCATTTACTATTAATTTTCTTATGTGAATTTATACAGTGCATACTCTGTTGTTATAAGTCTATGAAAAAATCTGCTAGTAAAATTCAGTAATGAATGCTGTTATTAACAAATTTTTAAAAAGAAATATTTTGTTTGTAACAGAACTATGTTTATGCATTTTAAGCGGAATTGGATCTGAAAGATATCACCAATGTGAAGTGTAAAATTTATACTCTGAGCAGTGATGCTTCTATCTTTACATGATATATTATTATGTTTGAAGCCAGAATCACTAAATCCATGTGACAAATCAAGAAATCAAGTGGTAAAATATTCTAAATATTCTTCATATAACTACTTTTATTAAATCTAAACTGATTATTTCATTAGGTATGAATAAATAAACAGCCCCTATATATATATACTAGCTGTTACCCGCGACTTCGTCAGCGGAGGTTTTGCAAGCAAACCCCATTTACATCCAATATTTCAATAACCATAGTAATTGTTATATAACACCTACCGCTGAAGAGAATTGCCGAAAATCAAACGAACTATTTTCAATTTGATCAATTTTCTGAAACGTTTACAATCGTTCTATAATCGAACCAANTATGTCAGATACATAGACTGAATTTCTTATTTATCTTATGAGCGATGATGAATCAGTGAATGAATGAATGAGTCAGTCAGGACAAGCAATTTTATATATTTAGATATATAGCACTAAAAGAAGCATTCATTGATATATTAAATATATTAGTGGTACTACTATATAAATGTATGTATATATTAGTGGTACTACTATATACATACATTTATATAGTAGTACCACTAATATATTTAATATATTAGTGGTACTACTATATACATACATTTATATAGTACATTCATTGATATATTAAATATATTAGTGGTACTACTATATAAATGTATGTATATATAGAGCATTCATTGATATATTAAATATATTAGTGGTACTACTATATAAATGTATGTATATATATAAACACAATATACTAGCAATAAGGTTTGATGTTTCATTTAGTGATTATCTTCAATTTTTGCATATTAAATCTATTGCTGGTGTATATAGTTTGTTTATTTATATAAATACATATCCTCAGTGAATATGTTAATTTTTCTTGTAAAATTCAGTAATGAATGCTGTTATTAACAAATTTTTAAAAAGAAATATTTTGTTTGTAACAGAACTATGTTTACACATTTTAAGCGGAATTGGATCTGAACGATTTCACCAATGTGAAATGTAAAATTTATACTCTGAGCAGTGATGCTTCTATCTTTACATGATATATTATTATGTTTGAAGCCAGAATCACTAAATCCATGTGACAAATCAAGAAATCAAGTGGTAAAATATTCTAAATATTCTTCATATAACTACTTTTATTAAATCTAAACTGATTATTTCATTAGGTATGAATAAATAAACAGCCCCTATATATATATATAGCACTAAAAGAAGCATTCATTGATATATTAAATATATTAGTGGTACTACTATATAAATGTATGTATATATATAAACACAATATACTAGCAATAAGGTTTGATGTTTCATTTAGTGATTATCTTCAATTTTTGCATATTAAATCTATTGCTGGTGTATATAGTTTGTTTATTTATATAAATACATATCCTCAGTGAATATGTTAATTTTTCTTAGTGTCTGGTTCTGAAGCCCACTTAGTAGAGTGACTATATGCCTGTTGTTAATATTTGATTGTAGAATCAATCTTTGAATAGAGCAATTCTATTAACATGTCAATATAATATAACCAATTTATAAATCAATAAATAAACAAATTTTTAATAATAACTGAAGTGCAATCAGTTTTAGACCCCATTTTTGCTAATTCTGAAATGTGTTCCAGTTGAATTGTAAATGATATGGTCAGCCTATCATTCAGTTCCTTCCAATAATCTGGAAATGCTGCTATAATAAAAAGAACTAAAACTTACTCTAGCCATATTAGCAACTGCCATTGGTTAAGATTCACTTGGATACATAGTATCTCACTGTCTATAATCATTTTCATGATATCTACTGATACTTTTATCTTCCTATTAGTTTTAATTCTTCAGATTTAAATATGGCAAATTATTTTAAGAATTCATACTATTCACTTTATTCATATTCTCAATACTGTCAAATGGAGTGAGATTGATTTTAGAAGGAGATTTTTATAACAATACACAAGTTTGTTTATGCTTCAAATTTTGCATTATGAATAATCCATTAACATCCATGAGGTGGCAGCAGTGAACTGCAAGTGTAAACAAAGCAAATCAGCATCAATTTGTGATAATTCGTAGATGTTTGAATATTTTTATTTGTTCCTGAAGAAGTGTTCTGTTTTCATGGTTTTTGTGAGTATGAAAAATAGGTGGAGCAAGAATTGGTTTCTTCTCCATGTGTGGTTCATTTCTTA